GCTACGAGTATGATGTGGAGGATGTCAGGGATGCCATGCTGTTGGGCGAGGGTGACGGGGTGGAGGTGGTGGGTCTGGAGGATGAGGTGGCCGAGCGCGCGGCGACGGCGTGCTTCTGGACGCGCCCTCAGCGCCCTCAGGCTGCCATCCACACAAAGCTGGAGTGTGCAGAACCGACGCCGTGCCAGACGTCAACATCGAGAGTGGGAGGTCTGACAGTCGACGTGCCCTCTGCAGGGTGGGCATGGTCGACTTATGGCTCTAGCTCGAGCTCGAGTTCGTCGGGGTCGAGTTTGCTCTCGTCGGGATCGAGGTGGTCGGATGCAGAGACGTACGTCGAATCGCCTGGGGATGATAGTTTCGAGGGCGAGAGCTCCAAAGGAAAGGGGTGGTATTGAACATTGATAAGGGGGGATCGTTGATCCTCGGGTTGTCAGTGGCGATTTCGTTGAGAGAAGCATCCCGTGGACGTCGTCTTGGATCGTCGTTCTTGGGCGGGTTGCAAGTCTTGTCTTTGGGTGAAATTGATACGCTGCTTACTTGTTTGGCTGGCTGGCTTGGTAATTTTGGTTTTCACTTTTTGTATACACCCCCCAGTGGCTTCTCTTTCTTACACCCTTCTGCTTGTGGAGTTGAGAAATAAGACATGTTTAGAGACTTTGGTGCTTGGCAGGGTTGAGACGTCAGTGATGACTCGGTATGCGGCACGCTGTATGACTGGGCTGTCAATATTAATGTTAGTGTCGGTACCGTTGGGATGAGTATCTACGCTCCGCGAGCGAGGGAGAGGCTGATTCTCTTGAGGTTCTAGGGGGGATGGCGCGTTTCTGTCACCATCCATCGGTCATGTGATCGAAGGAAGGACGCGCGCTAATTTGATCAAACTTATTTCTACTCTCTGCACGTCTCCCGAGTCTGATGCGGTCAAAATGACCCTTTAAACGTCCTCGCGTCCATCCCTCCTCCCCTTCCCATTCCCGCCCACGCAGGAACACGATCCCCCACTTTGGCGCACCCACCACCACCACCACAGACGACGCACCGACCGCCAACCCGTCCGCTCCCTATCATTGATGCGTGTCCGTGGCTTGAGAAGCTTGATCTGACGAGCCGCAGAGGGATGAGCGTTGTTGATCGGAGGCGGTTTGTTTGCTGAGGTGCGTGGGGTGGCTTGTTTGCGTTGTTTCGCTTTTGATGCTATCGATGTCTACAGGTCTGGGAGAGGGAGTGGAAGGATGGTTGAGCCGTGGCGCGTGATGCGTGATGCATGGTGCATGGTGGGTTAAGAAGAACGGTGATTTCAATGGTATCGGTCATGTACGCATTCGGAACGATGGCTTTTGGTGTGACAGGATGAGTCGCAGACATCCAACTTGTGGGGTTTATAGCAGATAAACGAGAGGCGAGTCCTTTTTTTGGCAGCTTTGCATCTTTTTAGAATTTGCCAATGGGGCGGCTGATGTTTGATATCATGGCTGCAAGCGTTAGGGATGGTTCTGTGGTATGGTGCATGCTAGACGATGGATCTTGTGGTGATCTCCGGCGAGTTCAGACGGTTGAACTTCTGGATGATTGACTGAATGCCATGACTGACCATATTATAGAAGGTGAACGGACTATGGGTACATACGATGTGTCATAGAGACCTTTTACCAGTGGGATGTGCAGTATACCCGCGTTATGGGCCCGGGCGTGGTGTACACTCTGGGTCCACACATATTCAAAGGTGGTTCTTCTAGAATGAACGAATGGAATGTTTGATGTGCCCCACGGCGTTGCCCTCATCCGATTTTCAATTCGACCTTGTACTGGCATTTGCATAACTCGTTTTAGGAAGGACATGGACTCGCAGGTCTTCTTGGCTCCATCTTTCGTTACTTCGTTGGGTGTTTTGCGTCATGGTCACTATATTCAGTACATTCCATTCCTCTGATCCCTTCAGAGCCGAATTAGTTTCATTCTTGGTCTCTGACGGGTTCTAATCGGTTCTAACCATCTCACATGTGCAGGTGGTCGGCGCTCCACGCACCTCCCCCGTTTATAAACCCTGTACGTCGTTTTGTTGTGCTCATCTTTCCCTGCTTTTCCACTCCTCTTTCCCTTTCCTATTTCTTCGCCTTCCAATTATTTTACCAACCCCCGCCTTTCTCTAGTGTTATTTGGTTAGGTCTTTAGACCTGTCCTGAGACGCTCAGAAGGTTATCTCCGCATCTATGTCTCCTTCAAAACTATCTGAATGTTTTCGTTCCACAGGCTTCTCCGCCAAAACCAGAATTGACCTCCCCCACCAACATGTCAGACCTCGACAAGAAAGTTCAACCAGCGACAGAGCTATTACCAGGCGCCGGATATCCTAAACAGAAGTCCAAATACAAGTCAGTCGCCATCAAGGCTGGGTTAGTTGCCTTTGCGTTCTTCATATCAGCCGCCACATTCTCTGCTCGGGGCGCTTCTCGCGGATCGTATGGGGTCAACACCGACGTCTGTTCACAAGCAGCTGAACTTATCCCCGAGAAGAATGGAGTGATTTGGGAGTCGTCAAACGTGCGTTACGATACGCTGCCATTCAAGAAGCGGGCGGTGAAGTGGCTTGGGGGAGCTATTCGCATTCCGTGAGTGGGGTTGCTCAAGGTTTTTTTAGCTTGCATTCTTATTGAGCGATGTCTTTAGCACAGAAACGTACGACGAAATGCAGCCTGTAGGAATAGACCCCCGCTGGGAGATATTCCATGTCTTTCAAGACTATCTACTTGAAGCTTTCCCCAAATTGTATGCATATATCAATTTGTTGAGGCCATGTCTCACTACGTTTTAGTCACAAGGCCCTCAAACTGACCAAAGTCAACACTTACGGACTGTTGTATGAGTGGAAAGGCTCAGATGCTTCTCTTAAGCCTTTACTTCTTGCCGCGCACCAAGGTCTGTAATTAAAATCATGATCATTGCTGACGCTCATGTCACTCGTTGCAAGATGTGGTACCTGTCGAAAACGCCACACTTGGTCAATGGCAACACGAACCATTTTCAGGCCATTTCGACGGTTAGCCTTTCCTACGCTTTGAGCTCACAGAACGTCTTTCTTATCGATCCTAGGTGAATATATCTGGGGTCGTGGGAGCTCGGATGATAAGCATGGTTTAATCGGCATAATGCAAGTCCCCTATTCTTATCGCGCTAAATATGTATTAAGCTTGTAGCGCAGGTCTGCCATCGAGTCTTTGTTAGAGCTAGGATTCAAGCCCACCCGTTCCGTGATGCTGGCTTTTGGATTTGACGAGGAAATCGGTGGTCTTGATGTAAGTAACTCACGTGGTTGCCAGCTGAGCTGTCAATACTAAAAGTGACTCCGTGTAGGGTGCACGATCCCTTGCAGCAGTGCTGCTAGAGAGATTTGGCCCGAAATCCTTTGCGATGCTCGTCGATGAAGGGAGTGAGTTTTTTTTTTTTTTTTTTTTTCTCCAGCTATGAGGGGAGAGCATTGTGTTAATGACACCTTCCAGTTGGTTACGGAACGCAGTACGGTCAAGTTTTCGCTCTGCCGGGAGTCACAGAGAAAGGCTTTTTGAATATACAGATCGACCTCGCCTCTCCAGGCGGTCATTCCAGTGTTCCCCCTCCGCATACTGTGCTTCATGATCCCTCCACTCGTTATAAACCTAGCTAATTTTTCTTTCTTCTCCTCTCAGAGTATTGGAATGTTGGCAAAACTCCTAGTCGAAATTGAAGAAAATCCGTTTGAAGCTCACCTGGTAAGTTCGGATATTTGCTAGGCTCTTCATTGCATTGGTCTGAGGCTTTCCAAACAGATCAGGGGTTCACCAACCTACAAAACTGTCCAATGTCTCGCCGAGCACGGTTCAGAAATGCCTCTAGCTTGGAGAGAAGTCATTCGGTTGTCGCAATATTCTGATGAAGCGCTCCGTGAAGCTGAGATGCTCCTCCTGCAAAACCCCATAATCAAGTCCCTGGCAGGCACAACGCAAGCCATCAACTTGATTCGGGGTGGAATCAAGACCAATGCCCTGCCCGAACAAGCGTGGGCTGTCGTCAACCACCGTATATCTATGGAAAGGTCGGTGTTGACTGCGGGTCACCTTGCATTTTTTTTTTTTTGGCTCACCCACTTGTACATCATAGCTCTCTCAACGAAACTACAAGCCGACAGACAGATCTGCTTCGGCCTCTTGCCAGCGGCTTCAACTTGTCTTATACTGCATTCGGCGCCTTCCTTTCTGAACCTGATGTCCCCGCCTATGGGTCGCTGAACTTGAGCTATGCCCCGGGAGCAAGCATGGACCCTGCGCCGGTCAGCCCGACTGATGGGGGTGCCGCGCCGTACGATCTTCTATCTGGTACGATCAAGGCGGCGTACAATTCTCACAGGGATATTGAGGGCGACGATAACATCGTGGTAAGCCCTGGCATTATGCCAGCCAATACCGGTAATGCGTCTTCCCGTTTGACTTGGCCTCGTTTGCTGAATCCAATCTGTCAGATACTCGGCACTACTGGAATCTCACCGATCACATCTTCCGATACCGCCATGTAAGGTTGGGAGGCCGTCTGCCTAACAATCCTCACACTGTGAATGAAGGCATGTTGTACGCTATTCTCAAGTGTGGCATGAGTCTGACTTTTTATGTTAGTCATGGAAGCGGACAATTTTATTGAGATTATTAGATTCTTTACAGCGTTGGTTCTCAATGCCGATGAGTCTGAGCTCATTTGATACACTTGGCGGAACCCAGCTCTCTGGAGTTGATCGTTATTGCATGTCCTTTCTCTCTTGTTCTCTTCACTAAAAGATGTTCGCGTTCGTAGTTTGATCGACTAGTTGTTGAGGTTATCAGTGGCAGGCCCGGTGTTGATTGCGTTCTGGGTGTCACGGCGATGGATTTCTGAGCAAGCCTATGGAGTGGGTGGCGTTGTTACTGCTACAGGTCGTCAAATGATTGAGTGCTTGCGATTATCTTGCCATGTATGTTCGTTGAAATTGTATATTATTGTTCAGACATTGTCATAAACAGGCTAGTGAGTGTATTATGTTGTTTCCGGTAAGGGGATAGCTACTGTCTCTAGTCATCAGTAAAGTGTCAAATTTCTTGACGGAACTTGGTCACGCTTTGCTGACTTTGAAGACTGTTCAAGAAATATAAGGAATTAAAGCAGTCTCCTACCCAGCCTCTATTTCGAGAGAGGAGGTATTTATCCTAGAGGTTTGATGTGAGATGATATATGAAAATTAAAAAAATAGAATACATCACATGACCAGAACATTTGATCGCTCTCTCTCCATAGAGGCTGGCACAGCAAGCATAACCAACTTTTGTCACACCCAAAATCAATGAGAAAGTCTGAAAGTAGTTAAAATGTTTAATTGCATTTTGGACCTACAAGACTTTATCAGAATAATGTATTGTTGTTAACATATTTCTACATATCCACACAAAAATATAGTATTGATGGAAATATGTCAACCAAAAGACATCATTTTGTAGGTCCAAAGTGCAATCAAATATTTTAACTACTTTCAGACTTTTTAATAAACCTAAGTGAAACTCAGCCGCTGCCCGAGAGGCTATATATCACAACACAATGGAATCCGCACCTGTGTACAGTGATTCTGGACCTTCTGGGCATGCAACCAATCAGTATGCTTTCCAAGTACACCTTGGTAGCTTAGTTGGTAAAGCACCAGACCATGAAAGCTGGAGTCCCGGGTTCAAGCCCTGGCCAATGCATGTTTTCTCATACTATAAACAAATGTCATAATTTGTCACTATAGAAACGACTTTATTATTTACCTAAGTGAAACTACAATAGATGTTAGTTTAAGGTGATCTCTAATAAATGTAATGTAACATACCTCAGCCGCTGCCCGAGAGGCTATAGAAACGACTGAGGTATTCCTATACTAAACCCCCTACTACTTGTAGTCGGAGGTGCTACTCGCTACAGTATAATGACTCCTAGGAGTACAATTGTGCTCCTAGGAGAACAATGGTTACTCCATGGAGTGGTGGCTATGCTCCATGGAGAACAATGGCTGCTTTGGCAGAGACCGGGTTTATCCGGTTTTGTCACTCCCACTTGAGTGCAACCGTAGTCCCATAGCTTTAGAGAATTTCCAGTGTTTTTCATGAGTGAGGAATGTATCTGATTACTGCCTCTCCCTTTGATACTAAGTCATCTCGGATAAAATGATATTTCCGTTGAATGTGTTTTGTACTTCTAAAGGATACCTATGTAAGATTGGGACCTAGGATAGTCTTATTGGATGTTGTGAACACCATACAGGCACTCCAAAAAAACATCCAGGGCACATTGAGAAATTTTAGATGACCATTGGGACACTAATTGTACAAATATTAGTTTCTTTGGATATTCTGAACACTGTCTGGTACTTTCAAAGAACATCCAGGTACAAATAAGAATATTTTAGAGGACTATTAAGACACCAGCAGTACAAATGATAGTCTCATTGGATATTCTGTACAATGTGTGGATACCATTAAAGGACATCTAGGGTATAATAGGGACATTTTACCAGAGCATCTGGGATGCCTAGTGGGACACAAGTAGTGCCCAGGGTAGTCTTGTTGAGTACTGTGTACACCATACAGGTTCTCCCAAAGAACATCCAGGGTATAATAAGGACATCCTGGTGGAGTATCTGGGAAGTAATTGGACTACCATGTATATAAATCCTAAAGTACACCTTGTCACCTATTATGGAACACTTTGATTTTAATAACATCCTAGGATAGTCCTACCTTGTAATAATATAGGATATACAAATCTCAAAATTTAAATCAATACTAGGACCCCTGACACCACTTGGGAGTCCCAGGATTCTCAAATTGTCCTTGGATGACCTTAACTCAAGGGAGTCCTGTATGGATTACCTGCCTATGGGATAATCCCAGGATAAAGGCCTCTTAGGCATGTCATTGAACAGTAACTGATCAACCTAAGAGGCTATGAAAAGAGGTTGACTGAAGTGCTCAGAACTGCAGTAAATCTATTGACTGCATTTCACCCTCAATCAGATGGAGAAACCAAAAGGGTAAACCAGGAGATAGAAATATATTTGTGGATCTTCTACAACAATTTACCACACACTTGGACAGAATATCTCACGACAGCAGAATTCTGCCACAATCATAGACCACATTCAGCACGGAATGAATCACCATTCTACCTCATGATGGGATACCATCCTAGGGATCTCCCCACAACACCAATAGCAACCAACATACCAACCGTAAGCAAAAGACTATCCAGCCTACTTGAAGCAAGAGCCATAGCCTTACAATTCCACAAGCTGGCAAGAGCACACATGCAAAAATACTCACAACATCTGTTACCCACGTTTACAACTGGACAAAAAGTTTGGCTAGAAGCAACTAACTTAAAGAAGAAAGGAACACCCTACCGAAAGTTCAATTGGAAATAAGAAGCACCCTTTATCATCCTTGAAAAAGTATCACCGGTTAACTACCGACTAAAACTCCCAGACGCGTGGAAAATCCATCCCATATTCCACGCTACCCCGTACAAACAAACCGAAGTCCACGGAGAAAACTATATCAGACCACCGGCGGAGATAATCAATGACCAAGAAGAATACGGAATAGAAGCCATTCTACATAACAAAAAGAACCAAAGAGGATACCTATATTTAGTCAAATGGGAGGACTACCCATCGGCCGAAAACTCCTGGAAAGAAGAAGCAAACCTACAGAATGCTTCCGAGATCCTGAACGAATATAAAAGGAGACACAAATTATGAGGCATACCAACAGGATCCCCTCCTACACACACTTACCAAAGAATGACCATGTCCCAGACCACCCCCATCGACCAACAAACCCGTCCTCCTCACTTTCCCCCTTACCTCGCAGAGCCCCAAATGCTCACCAAAGCACAATGGGCACACCATCTTGCCCTCACTCAGGAACAAACTGACATCGTTGACACCACTGAATTGATGTCAGATAGGCATGCCTACTTTTATCTATTTCACCAGTCTAACGTTACATGCCCTACCGCCACATACCCACTGGATACGTTTTATCGTTAGCAAAATGCACTCCTTGTAACAACCAAGAGTTAGTTACTCTGGCGCACAACTCAGACAAGCAAAAGAGTAATGAGAGGAGTGGTTACCCTTTTAAAGTAGGACCAAGTTAATTGTGGGTATACAACAGGAGGACTCGCTGAGGAGTCTCCTTGATTTATTGGGGTATATATACTACTACAGGTTTGTTTGTACATATGTACTATATAGTTGATGAAGGCAGTGGCTGATGATGTCATGGGGCACAGCCCATGTGACCAGCTCCACTGCGTGAGAGATTTGTAGCTATAAATAAAGAAAAGCAGCGCAGTGCGAGAAAAGGGAGTTTGAACAAAAGGGAAAGTGCTGCATGGCACAGTGTGTGAAAACTATAGAAGAAAGTTAAATAGGAGAATGAAATTTAAAGGTCCGAAAATTGTGTATCTTAACACTCCTTGTTGCTGATGAACTGCATGCAGTCACCGTCTCACTGGGTTTGTTGGTAGACAAGCTTACACGGGACAACACTTATAGCACATGACTGACTATATGAGCTATGAGAGAGCTTGTGGCTAATTTAACAGAGAAAAATCTAAAAATACTTAGTTTGGCTTTTGAGGCGTTTGAGGTATCGGCAGATTGGGGACTCCAAAAAGTTGAAGTCATACACCAATTTTGATGTACGTCTCTTCAGTGCCAATTAATACCATTTTGTAATGTATGATTAGTACAATTTTTCAGAGTGAGTGATTAAATGAAAAGATACATTTCTTTCATCAGCGATGATGTAAATCAATTACAAAGCTGAAAGCTCACTATAGAATTCTAAAAACCTATCTCCGAACATGACCAATCAAGCCTCGTTAATGCTATTGGCTGGAGGTAAGTAATGACTCATCCGCAGTAGAAGGTGCCATGATCACACCATAAGGCATGGACCAATCACGTATATATCTCAAGTCACGTGCATAATCACGTGCCATTCCTTCTCAAATGTTCCATAAGCGCACATTTATTTGGTCACGTGCCACGGTCCGGGGTTGCCGGGTGCTAAAGTATTGGTACTTGGCCTTATTCGCCGGACATGCTTTAATGCTAATTCTTGATCTGCGGTCATCTGATTAGATCTAAATCTTATCTTATCTACCGGACCGGTTTACATAGGCGCTGGGGGTAGATAGCTGTTCGGGTATCTTGGTTTCGCTTGTCCTTAATTGCTGGGGGACATTATTGTCTTTGCCCCTGAACTAAAATCAAAATCCATATCTGAAACTATGAATACCATACACCTTATCGCCAGACACCTGCCGTCCCTTTTTGGATAGAAGGTTTGCTCCAATCGCAAGTGCAACCGAGGTGGTCAATTCCACACTTAGCCCACGGCCCAAAAGCCGGGGGGACATTCCAATTACCCTACTAAGTTGGGCAAGGATAGCGAGTTTGCGTTATGTAAACTAGTTAACTCTATCAGTCACTTGGCAGCCTGACACCACCATCCTTTCAAGAGTGCGCAGGCATTTATCAGCTTCCACCAGTAACGTTGGGCCCCCTTAGAGGGTCGTTATAGGTTTGGCCAATAAGAGGCCGGGTTCTTACGCTAGCCATTGCGCAATTTGGTCGGTTAGATAAGGTTAGAGTTGATTAGGTTCTCTAATCAGACTTTATCAGGTCATTATCCCAAGAATAGACTTAGTGTGATAATGTACGGTTAGGTTAGCGTGAGATTGCATAACTCCGTCCAAATATGTAACATTTCAAATGCAGCGGATCATCTGCAGGTTTTACTTTATCAGATGTGAAAGCTTCGAACGTCAAAAATATTGTGTACCTGCAAGCACAATGTACCATGCATAAACATTTTATCATAGGTTTATTTGGGGTTAATTCCATGTGCACCGCTCAGAGGTCCCTCTCAGGATCCTTTACGTTATCGTCTAATTCTGTGGATAGAATTTAGAATCTACACCCAATTCAGAACAAGTATTGTTCCCTTACGGGGTCGTTCCTACGGGCATTCTGCGTCTAAAGATAGCTAATAAGCCAGTACCGGGGGTGAGGTAAGGACATAATTACGGATGTGGGACAATATTCTTTTTAGTTCAATCCCAGCCAATATCCATACTTTTGAAAGGCGCCACTATTTGATCTTCAATCTCATAGGTGCTTCAATCAGTCGGTGCTTTAAGTTCTGGCCTTTCGCAATCAAGCAAGGCACATTTCCATTTGTTGACTTGCTTAAAACGATTATCAGTAACCTTTCATGACACAAGCTAACAAGAATTGTTTGCAAATTTGAGTTTCCGCACATCTGCAATGACCCGACGGTCAGAGGGAGATAGCACAGAGGGCTCAGATACCGCTTGGGGGTGTCCACCCACGGGCAGAATCAAGGAATCCATTGGATCAGTGGCCGAAGCCACCCACCTGCCAGTCTCAACCTGATCTGCACTGGGGCGTTCTTCACCGAGACGGACTAACACCGAGTCATGCACCACCATGTCATTGCAGCTGGGCCGGTGCACGGACATGGGGAAACCTGGTGACGGTACATCACCAGCCGTGAACTTTCTACAATATTCACGCCAATAGCCAACAATGCCTGCCTGCAATTCTTTAGCATCAAAGTAGTTCCATATGGGGTTAAGTTGGCTTGTCAGGACTATAAGTGGGTCCATCGCCGCATTGTTGTCATCCTGGATCAAAAGCTGGTTCAACCAACGCTTATTCAATTCTTCCAAATTAAGCCATTTTTCAACTCTCCGTCAGGGTAGCCACGAGCAACATATAGTTGATAGAGTCCTTGCATGCTCTCCAGGAACATATCCTTGTGAGAACAGAGGGTGTAACAACCAAGAGTTAGTTACTCTGGCGCACACTAAAACAAACTATAAAGGTAGTGATGAGGGAGTGGTTACCCCTTAGGTAGGACCGAGTTAGTTGTGGGTATACAACAGGAGGACTCGCTGAGGAGTCTCCTTGATCTATTGGGGTATTTATACTACTACAAGCTATTTGTACATGTGTACTGTACAGTTGATGAAGGCAGTGGCTGATGATGTCAGAGGGTGCAGCCCGTGTGACCAGCTCCACTGCGTGAGATACTAGTATCTAAAATAAGAAGAAAAGGCCGCGCGGCACGAGAAAGAGGAGTTTGAACAAAAGGGAAAGTGCTGCATGGCACCGTGTGTGAAAACTACAGTAAAAGGTTAAAGAGGAGAATGAAAGTTAAAGGTCCGAAAATGTGTTATCGTAATAGAGGGTAGCTAGCCGTGAGATCTCTCCTAGAACAGCCCCGCGTTTCATGTCTAAGGGGTGGTGGGAGATCCATGGAATTTGTTTGAGATGATTGTTTGCCTTCCTGTAAGGCCTTCATTGGATACCGCCAATAGAGTCCAGGTAGATTTGCATATCTAAAAGTACCTGGGACGTAGAAGGGTACTCCCAATCAATCACGCAATCTTCAAACTCTAAAGTTTTGACAAGTCCAAGAGCTTCTAAAGCAGACGTTGCTTCGATTACAACAAATATGTCATCTATAAACCGTTTGTAAAGTAATACGCGCAGATCACACAGGAGTTTGGACCGAGTCTCGAAGTAGCAACCAAATAGGTTCACCACGTTGGGGCTACTCGCAACACCCATTGCTAGGCCTTTGAGCGCTCGGTATATCGTTCCTTGAAATTGCATTAATAATTCAGAATGGGCCAGTTGCAGACACCGTTCAAAAAACATCTCCAACACGATCTCTTCAGATTGCTTCACCAGAATGGACAGATAGTATGCTACTATGTCTCCTGTCACTAAAAATACTCGTCTGCATCTGGTATCCAAACAATCAAGTGCTATCGCCATTTGTTTAGATGAAACTAAAATGGTGTTTGATCCGGAGATCAAGGGTTTAAGCATCTTGCTTACATACTTCACCGCTGGGTTCTGAATCACATTGTAGCAGGGGATTATTGGCCGCATATTTGTTGGAGTCTTATGGATCTTTGGGATGCCATAAAATTCTGGGACCTTATGTGTGCCGCCTGCCTGCGTCTTCTGGGAAATAGAAATAAAGAACTCTCTCAGCTGTTTTCCATATGGGCTTGCGCCCGCCATATTGCTGCACTCTTGCGAAAGTATGCATTGCTTGTTTAATATCACATTTGCCTCAGTTTGACTTACAACCGCGTACTGGATGGGGTTGGAGAACAGTGACAGACATCTTTCTATGAACCAGTCTTTCCTAATGATGGCTATTCCAAGATTTTTATCTGTAATTGTGACCATATAGTTATTATCGGTCATGAATCGTTTGAGTTCGGCCATGCGTGGGTCCAAGGTTATTTTGGACCTATCTCCACCATGTGTCTCGGCCGGCATGGTGAGAATTGTGTTCTGCACGATTTTTCTTCCGATATTGAAGCCGCACTCTATGTAGCCATAATACGACAACTCGGCAGTAGTTCTAACTTTAGCTACCTCGTAGTCAGGGTCATAAGCGTCTTCTTTGGGGTTCATTCCACCTGCTAGTCCAAAAAAAATTGCCATCTTAAGCGATGTCGATGATGAGAACTGCTGTTAGAAAACCACACACAAAACAAACTAACACACAGTCCTCCCAGATTCCACGGAACTTGTTTATGGGCTTTGCCTCCTAGAACAGTGGAGTGGTCTGGTTGTTCGTGGGGTGGTACGTATAAAGATCCTTCAAAGTAAAACCCAGAGGTGTATGAGTGTGGGTTTTGAGGAGGAGGGATAGTTGAATTTATAGAAGGATAGGGGCTTTGTGACGAGTATAGACAAGCACTACCTTGCTAATCGTAGCACAAGGTAGATTTGAGAACAACAATATGACGAGGTTCCCAGTGATAGCAGGCTCCTGACGCACAAACTGTAGTGCTCAGAAGGACTCTAATCGAAAGGGATGACAATGACTTCAAAAGTGGGAAGTGACGATGACAGCAGTTGACAGTGGTAAAAGTGGGAAGTGTTGTGACCACACTGGATCACAAGTAGCAGAGTAGTGAACTTGAGAGTAGAGAAGAAGTCTGGATTGGATTTCTTGTTGTTCTTTTTACAAGGTAAAATACAGGGGTTTATATAGTAAAAGAAAAGTAGGCTATGCACAGTATAGCTGTGCAAAAAGAATGAGAAAGAACATGAAGGAAGGAATGTATGCTGACGAATCCTGCGTAGGTAGTACAGGATAAGATTGTCAAAAAAAGGAAAAGAAAGAGATAGAACAATGAATGCTGTGAGTAATGTCACAGGTTTGTACAGCCATAAAGTAAAGTCCAATAGCAAAAAGAGAGCAGGAAAATCATGATGTCATGGGAAGATGCAGTAAAAAAAGGGCAAGGCAAAACACTATCAGTATCAACACAGTTCCTTTATTGTCAGTCAGGCATTCTAAAAAAATATGTGTCCATAAAAATGATTCAAAAATCAAAAATAATCGCACTGTAAATGAATGTTCTGCTGAAGAAAAAGAAACTGGAGCCACCGGTCCACCACCTAGTCCAAATCCGACAGTTCCATGGCCTTACCAATGGACTGGTTGTGTTGGACCACCTGATCAAACGAGGGAGGGAGAGGAGTAGTTCCAATTTGGAACAAGTGAGTCCCAGGCAGCATGTGGTAGGTGTAGCTGTAGCGAAGACGATGGACAAAAGATAAGTGTACCCAAGTGAATGGGACAGCGATGAACATGGGCGACGCAAGGGGATGAACCTTCTCCAGCTCAAAAATTACCCACCCACGCTCCAACCAGGCAAGACGAGCGACCGATGTTCTGATAGTATATGATGGTAGATCGACATCATGAAGATGGACCTGTTGCCCTATTTGAACCAGCCGCCGGGGCTTTGCTGATATCAGCAGTGGCACGTGGTGGTCAACAGATTGGCAACGGAAGCAGATAGGAAGTGGTGACATCAGAAATGGTGGGGGAGCAAAGAAGATGAGGAGGAGGAGGGTGGAGGTGACGAGGAGGTGGATTAGAAATGGGATCCAGAAATGACCATTGGGTGAGAATAAAAAGGAGAGGAAGGGTCCCATGGTGGGGCTGAGTAAAGTAAAAAGCAAGGGAGAACGACAAAAGCGAGGGCACAATGTGTAGCCAGTGGCGACGTGAAAACTTGCCAAAATGCCGAAACGGGGAAAGTACCAAATGGAAAAGCAAAGGTGAGCGCAACTGGATTGCCTAATAGAGGTGGTGCTGATCAGCCACAAGCTCGAAAAAGGCAGTATTAATTACTATTCCACGTGGCACTGTGCCTGTGTGGCTCAAAGGCAAGTCTTTTTGAATATTTGCTTTGTTATTGACACCTGTACATGCTACCAATCAACTTTGGTGCATGACAATGTAAGTATTTTCCTCTAGGAATGATTATATCTTACCATCTGGTCCAGCACCCTCATCCTCATCATACTCATTGCTGCTTTCATCCTCACCTATGTGTGGCTTTTTATAACGTCTTCACTTATGCCGAACTAACGGAGTGAAGGCGTCGAATCTTAGCAGGTAGTTGAACTTGTTTATAGAGAGGAAATCGAAAGCTAAGGTATGTACAATGAAGATTGACTACTTATATAGGTAATGAGGCATGTCAGCCTTGAGGCGCTGGCTGAGAAACACGAGGGTAGCGCATGTGTGATGAGTAATCAGGTGACCTAATGTCACGTGATGAGATAAGATAAGTACTACATATTGATTAGATATGGTGAGATAAGTGTCTCTATATCAGGGTTGGTTAGATAAGGATCAGGAGATTGGGATTGTGACACTTTTGAGTTAGGACCCCTTGAATATCTTCCTCATCAGAATCACTGTTGATGGCTTGTCTTTTTCTAGGAGGGTTTGGTGGTGTAACTGGGTCAACGTCATTAAGATCCTCTTCTTCTTCTTCCATTAAACTAGCTGCTCTCTTTCTCGTTGCAAACAGGTGTGATCAGAGCAGGCTGCTCCGATTGCATCTGTTCACAAGCCGGACTCACAGGGCAAGGTGTTGGACCTTGTCTCAGCTGCGCTTGCACTTACACCAGATGTGGGGACAGCGAAGACCAAGAAAGGGACTGGTAAGAGGAAGCCGTGTAGTAAGGATTTTTTGAAGATAATGCCTGCCATCACTGCAAGGTACATTGTATCGGTTTTATGCTCTATTGTCTGATATTTTAACAGGAACTTATGTGCCAAAGACTGGCTGCAAGAGCATCCCAGTGGTCTCAAAGTTGAATTCAACACTTACTTCAAGGATCTTTCAAAGGACTTGCAGAAGGTATAGTATTATTGAATTTTGTTTGTAACTTCACTAACCTGTATCTTAGAAATATGCCTCGGATGCCGCTATCATGGTATGTATAGCATCGTTTTATTGATTTATTAGTATTAATATTATACTACATTTGTTCTAGAAACTCAATGCAAAGGCCTAGTTTTGTTGGTTCTGTATGTCTGTTTTTCTTTCGTTTTATTGTATTTTGTTTTGTTTTAATTCATTTTTGCTGTTCTTTATTATACTAATGTCTTTCGTTTTAATTTGTTTTTGATGGTTGCTTAAGATATGGGTGTCTTTCATTTTTATTCGTTTTCATTGGTATCAAATGCATGTTTTAATTTTTAGAAAGAAAATGATAAATTTTGATAAAATAATTGTATATAGTCTAGAACCATTTAAAATTGATGGCCAACTGTTAAAACCGGTCATCCTAGGATAAAATATGGTATATTCATTTTAATTCATCTTCAGTCAGCCTATATACTGCGGCTTTCGGCTGGGCTTCAACTTTGATGCAACATCAATAGTGTTCTCTAGTACCTGTACAATTGGATATTTTGGATATTTGTGATAGATTTTTATAAAACCATGAGGCTAATTTACCTGCATAACAAACCATTGTATGAATAATAAAAGCATTCTCATTAGCACCAGAAAAATGTGTCATAGAAATCAACAAGCTATTATAACTGCTATAGCACATATAGTATCTAAATTTGCACTTTTGGTGTTTGAGAGCTTAGTGTCAGGTCTACTGTTGTCATTACAGGTAAGCTATTCACTACATTCTTTCACATTTATATTCTTTTTACTCTATTCTATGTGTGACAAATTTTTGGCTACCAGAGCATCTCTATTGCCGGTTGCATCTGGTGTCCAACAATAGTACTAACTAAACAATGGATATCAATATATAGTGTTCTGGGTTCACATATGCTGTACATAGCATATATTCTGAAGTAAGTAAATAGTAACTCCAGAAGGCAATAAAACTGGATGTAATCTTAGACATGGCTCTGATACTTAGCCCCACTATCGAGAAGGCGACAACTTGAACTGCAACTCCAGATAACCTACGCAATGTTAAGGAACATGTGAAGATGTGTTAAACCAGGTATGAATTGGGTGGGTTGCAACGTAAGACCGATACAATATCCAATACGGGTGCAGGATGCTCAAGTACCGACATTGTGAAGGGTGGATACTCCGCATTGCTGTTGCTGCACGGGTAACATGTGGTTTCAGGCTGGGTATGCACCAGACCCAGATTAGACCCCATTTTTGGGTTGGATATTTCAACTGAGTTTGAGTTACGTGACGCAAATTGTAGACTGTCGACAGCTGACCCTGTATATGATAATTGAGGGTGGCCTGGCGTTTGGAGAGCGTATATGGGTATAGGGCGACCAGATGAGGCGTGATCAAGAGAATAAGTATGTCATAATCAGTGAAATTGGTGGGCAAACGGGAAGCATGGTACACACCTCATGTTCCGACCTTTGGTAGATCTCCACAAGCTATCAAAGGAGTGGGTAAGGAAGCCCCAAGCAGCACGATAGTTCTTCTTTGCTTCTATCGTGAAACCAAAAAAAGCAAAGACAATAATGGAATACACAATGTAACTCCACCGCATTGCCTGTAGTTCAAAGACAGATAAAGAGTCTTCTGCTTGCCACACAGCAGCTGGGACTTTCAGAACACGAGAAATATCCGCATGCATAGCATTCCATCCAGGCCAAGGATTAACTGGATTTTCAGTTGCATCGCCCACAATTGACCATAGGCTCTGCGGAAATGTACAGATGAATGTTGTGATGGTCAAAGCAAGTAAACGGCCAAAATGCTTGTCGTGTAACATGAGTTCTCTATAGCGCTCCCTTCGCTGCATCAAGGCGCGAATAGTGGCTCCTAGAATTGGAGTTGGATAAGTTTCATTGACAGGATATTACTACTGAGCGCTCACCTACGTAGATAGCGAGGACAAGGGACAATAGTAATGGCCACATCAGAAGCACCGGGTATGAAAGCGGTGTGTTGTATAGAGCAAAGTAGCAGCCTATCTCCTCAAAAATAATGAAGCGCCTAATCTGAACAACATATGCTGAGGTCAGTTTAGCAAAAGCATTGAAACAACAATTTGTGTGACATACATAAGACGATGTATAATACTGGAATCCCAATAATCAAAAAATAATCACCCATAACGGCTCGCCAATGCTACTCATCAACAATCAGACACTAATCAGCGAGGCTTAATCTAAGACGTACCCTAGCTTGTTTTTGATTGAGTCGGTTTGTGATTGACTTTCTTGTGAGAATATACAAATATCGAGCAATGTATAAACACGCCGACTGTACACCAATCGCCCCACCTAGTATCAAACGAGATGCTGTCAAAGAATTTTCAGAAAAAAACGCGAGTACTTAAACCAAGGTGCACATACATATATCACACCACACAGGTGCCCAATCGGTGAAATTGTGATCCCATATGATCGAGTTTACAAATCCATTGAAGCAAAGTAAGCCTATCCATATAATGAGGGCGCATGTACCAATATTTCTTGCTTTTTCAAGACGTCAGCGCCATTTACCTCGACGGAGAAACATTCAAGAGGATGATAAATCACCTTTTACATGGAGCGGTAAGAGGACACTGACTAGAACGAAGCCGATGAACGCAAACCCAGAAAAAATACGATTAGTGGACACCATGCTCTTTGAGATAGTAAGCTATGAGTTGGAGTTGATCACCGAAGCGAGGGTGGGCTACGAGGAACTCTTGCTGCAGTTCTTCTTCCAAGTTTTTTATACCATCTCGTTGAGGAAGGCAGGCTATACAAAATAACTGCTACAATCAGGATCTATCAGAGAATCAGACGGATCTATCCACTAGAGACGCTTTCAGTACACAACTGAGCATGAGCACCAATTTAAACCTACGTGGCGTATGCTAGCGCCAATCGCGTTACAGGCACCGTCAATGCAAAGTTTCAGGTAAACACTGAGGCTATCATCTCACCTCTTAACAGGATGTTCTTAATGCAAGCGAACATTGATTCAAAGGTAGAGCAGGGGATATGAGATCCTGAGCAACACTGGATCGATCAGAAAAAGGCGGCGCCTCGAGCAACAATAGACGTAATTTACACGGATCTGCTTTGCATTGACCCTTCCAGTTACAATAAGATGGTACAATGTTTACTAGCTGACTGTACTTACATGTTAAGGTTTAAAACTCCTGTTGCGAGTTTTCCAGAGGCAGAATGTTGCTAACAACTCCTCGAGTATGTATTGGGTGAACGGGACATAAAAGAAGTTAGTCTGCCGCATGTACATGTCAAGCACTTTGTTGATATTTATTAAGCTCGCAATATCTCAGCGGCAGTGGCTTGACTAGTCTCGATCGTATTCATCTCTGCATCTCCTGTCCACTCCATAATGTCAAAACAACCATCCAAACGTCCTCGCACCCTTTCCTCCTCTTCCCCTTCTCGTTCGCGCAAGAGGACTATTCCCCAATTCGGCGCACCCACAACAGACGACTCACCTAACGCCAACCCGTCCACACACCCGGCAACGAATCCATTTTCGACTCGAACGCCACTCTATAATGCACACGGTGGAAACGCTATCCCAGCGCTCTCCACGCTCGCTGCGCGTGTGTTCGTCGCTAGTTTTCGGGTATTAGGTGCTAGAGGAGAGGTTACAGAGGGAAATGATGGGAGAACGGGTGGGTATGAAAAGGTTAGAGTCAGCGGTAGAGGACGAGAAGGAAGACGGAAGTGTGACTGGGCATACACTGCACGCTGGCTTCGCGCCCTCCCCGACCTCCTCGCCTCGCGTCTCTTTGCAATGCTCACAGCAGCCGTTCCAGCCTATCTAAGCCATGCGCTTATTGTTACCGTGAGTGCCTTGTCCTGTCGCTCCTACTCATCCTTGTAGATAGGCATACAGTACAATCAATCAGGCTCGAGTACTAAAGCCGATACAATCCAATCCATCATAGTAGTGTCCTCACCATATTGATATTTAACATTCACGCTCTACGTTCTGACTAACTAAGTATCGATTGCCCGCCTCCCTAGTACTTCCTCCGTGGACCCTCCGTTACCCTCACGAACGACCTCACTGGTGTCGAGCGTGCAACTCTGTTCGCCATCCCACGAATAACAAGATCAAGCGCGACAGATACCAGCACCCTTCGTGAACTGCACCTCATCGGGCTCGACGCCTTCTCTGATTCGACCTTTGCGTCTATCATAACATCACTTCCGGAGTTGAGGGTACTCGTGTTGCGGTGAGTCCTTTCGTTTATCACAGACAGCTCCACTTGTTGGATTGGACTAACTGAATGCGCACCTGCAGCGGATGCACAAAAGTCAGTTTTAAGACCGTCCAGGCAGCCGCTTCCTCCTGCCCCTCGCTCCAAGTTGTTAACCTCAACTACACAGTTATTCCACCCTCGTCGCTCATAACTCTCTTCATCAATTGTCGTGCGCTTGAGGTGTTGAAGGTCGCAGGGGTGCCTAACTGGGTGAGCTCTTCCTTCCCTCCAATTTCTTGTGCCAACGCTGAGGTGCCTTCACGCGGCTGCCAGACCGACGCTACATTCTCCAAGCTCCTTGCTGGACTTTGCCAATCTGGCCGACCCAGTGATTCTCCCGAGTCTGATGCAGTCGAACCTCAGTCCATCCTCGCAAGAAACACGCTCCCTTTGCGTACCCTGAAACTTCGCCAGACTGGCCTGTCCGACACGTCCATCCACGCAATTGTAGCGCTCTGTCCCCACCTCCGCAGACTCGACATCTCGTTTACATCCGCACGGCACCTTCCTTGGTCCATTAATACTAACACCGTCACCCACGCCAACAGAGATGAAGTCAGCAAGAATAACGATTCTACTAATGCCAGTACCATCCTCCCTCTCGAAAAACTAACACTAACAGCCACCCAAATACCCCCCTCCTCTCTCCTCTCCCTCCTCCCGCGCCTCCCGCATCTACACGTTCTCGCACTCGGCGCGATGGGTAGTGCACCTTCGACTTCGCGTTCTGGGGTGAGTGCAGGGATGGGGCTCACAGATGAGGTATTGGGTAAGTTGACCGATGGGCTGGTGTTGGCTAAGCGTAAGCGTGAGGATAAAAGTGGGGCGAAAGGGGGATTGGAAAGCGTGAACCTCGCTGGGAACTCTAAGCTTGGGTTTACATCGAGAGCAGGGAGGGGTGCGTTAGAGGAATTAGTAAGGAGGATCGGAAGGGGATGCAAGGTGTGTGGCTGCCGCTAGTTCAGCATGCATTGACATTGATGGCTGATCGACCACACTTTTCACTTTTACTCTATTTGGGGTGGAACAGAAATTAAATCTAGCGGGCGTGTCGTCTCTCCGGTCGGCGGATTTGAGGGGTTTGTTGGAGTACAACGACGGCGAGGATGGAAGAAGGACACCGACACTTGAACATCTCGTGCTTACTAACACGGGGATCGACGACGAAGCTGCGCCGTACATCGCGGCCTGTTCATCTTTAGCTATTTTAGAACTGGGCGGGACTAAAATAACGAGTGTGTCACATTTCTTCCCGTTCCCCTCTCTGATACATCTGTCTTAATCAATGATCTTCGTCTTCTCAATCATAGGTGCGGGATTGTTCCCTATCATTGATGCGTGTCCTCGGCTTGAGAAGCTGGATCTGACGAGCTGCAGAGGCGTGAGCGTCGTCGATCGGAGGCGGTTTTTCGAAGTGCGTTATGTGCCTCGTTTGTTCGTTTCTCTTTTAATGTCATCACTGTCTACAGGTCTGGGAGAGGGAGTGGAAGGATAATTGAACCATGATGCATGGTGGGTTAAGAAGAACGGTAATATTAGAGGTGTCAGTCATGTGCGTATCACCTGTGCGGATTCAGAACGATGGCTTTTGGTACGAAAGAACGTTAGTAGTAGGCCAAAAGTGACAGAGATATCCGAGCTGTGGGGTTTATAGCAGATAAATGAGATTGGTGAGTCTTTTTTGGAAGCTTTGATGACTTTGCTGTTTTGACTGAGGGTGATCACTCCCAAGCTAGGAAATTTGCTCATCGCTGTGTCGCGTCTTTTTAGAATTTGGCCATGGAGCGGCTAATATTTGATATCATGGCTGCAGGGTTTAGGGCTGGTTCTGTGGTATGGTGCTATACGATGGATCTTGCGATGGTCCCTGGTGAGTTCAGACGGTCGAACATATGAATCATTAACTCACCGCAATTACTAACCATGTTATAGAAGGTAAACGGGCTTTCGGCCTATATACAATGTGTTTTAGAGAGATCGTTTACCAGTGGGATTTACAGTATACTCCGATATTAGTGTGATGAGCACTCCGGATCCAGACATATTTGAGTGTTGTTCTTCTGGTACTAAGAAAGGAGGAATGGAACATTAATGCGTTTCATGGTGTTGCTTTTATCCGACTCTCGATACGGCCTTCTATAAATCCAGTAATCCCATTCGCATAACTCGTTCCAAGAAGGATAGATACAGAGCCATCAGTTTCGTTTTCAGTCTCTAACCATCTTCCCCGGAATCATCACATCGCGTACATTGAATTGGAGCTTCAGAAGCTCCATGCGCCTTCTTGACAGGGGACCCACTTAGTTCGCAGCCGTGCAGGTGGTCTGTGTTTTTGCCTTATAACCCTTGTACGTCGTTTTCCTGTGCTCATCTTCCAATCATTCTACCCTTCTGCCTCTCACTCTCCAGTGTTATTTGGTTAGGTCTTCAGACATATCCTTAGAACGCCCAGAAGGTTACCTTCAAATTTATTCTTCCTTCAAATTTAGCTAAATATTTTCGTTTCACAGGCTTCTCCGCCCAAACAAAAGTTAACCTTCCCCACCAAATCCCGAAAATCGTATCTTTATCTTTTGGCCTTTAGTCACGTTTCACGCGACAGCTATATGCAAAGCGAGTTCACCGATCATTTGCATTCGCAATCTCTCCCTCTCATGGCAACTATCATGTCAGACCTCGACAAGAAAGTTCAACAAGCGACAGAGCTATTACCAGGCGCCGGATATCCTAAACAGAAGTCCAAATACAAGTCAGTCGCCATCAAGGCTGGGTTAGTTGCCTTGGCGTTCTTCATATCAGCCGCCACATTCTCTGCTCGGGGCGCTTTTCGCGAATCGCAACAAGTCAACACCAACGTCTGTTCGCAGGTAGCCGAACTTATCCCCGAGAAGAATGGAGTAGTTTGGAAGTTATCAAAAGTATATTTTGGTACGCCACGATTCAAGAAGCGGGCAGTAGAGTGGCTTGGGGGAGCTATTCGAGTTCCGTGAGTGAAGTTAATCAAGGGTTTCAGCTTATCTTCTTATCGAGCGATGTCTTTAGCACAGAAACGCACGACAAAATGCAGCCTGTAGGAATAGACCCCCGCTGGGAGACATTCGGTGTCCTTCAAGACTACCTACTCCAAGCTTTCCCCAAAGTGTACGCATATATCAGGTTCACAAATTTGTTGAGGGCATATCTCACTACGTCTTAGTCACACGGCTCTCGAACTGACCAAAGTCAACACTTACGGACTGTTGTATGAGTGGAAAGGCTCAGATGCTTCTCTTAAGCCTTTACTTCTTGCCGCGCACCAAGGTCTGTAATTAAAATCATGATCATTGCTGACGCTCATGTCACTCGTTGCAAGATGTGATACCTGTCGAAAATGCCACACTTGGTCAATGGCAACACGAACCATTTTCAGGCCATTTCGACGGTTAGCCTTTCTTACGCTTTGAGCTCACAGAACGTCTTTCTTATCGATCCTAGGTGAATATATCTGGGGTCGTGGGAGCTCGGATGATAAGCATGGTTTAATCGGCATAATGTAAGTCCCCTATTCTTATCGCGCTAAATATGTATCAAGCTTATAGCGTAGGTCTGCCGTTGAGTCTTTGTTAGAGCTAAAATTCAAGCCCACTCGTTCCGTTGTGTTAGCTTTTGGAATTGACGAGGAGATCGGTGGTCTTAATGTAAGTAATTCACACGATTGCGAGCTCAGCTGCAAATACTAAAAGTTACTTCATGCAGGGTGCACGATCCCTTGCAACAGTGATGCTAGAGAAATTTGGCCCAAAATCCTTTGCAATGCTCATCGATGAAGGCGGTGAGTTCTTTCAGCTATGAAGGGAGAGCATCATGTTAATGACTGCTTCCAGTTGGTTACGGACCACAGTACGGTCAAATTTTCGCTCTGCCGGGAATTGCAGAGAAAGGCACCTTACATATACGGATCGACCTCGCCTCTCCAGGCGGTCATTCCAGTGTTCCTCCTCCTCATACTGTGCTTCATGATCTCTCCACTCATCATATATCTAGCTAATTTTTCTCTCTCAGAGTATCGGGATGTTGGCAAAACTCTTAGTCGAAATTGAGGAAAATCCGTTTGAAGCTCACCTGGTAAGTTCGGATATCTGCTGGGCTCTTCATTGCGCTGTCTGAGTCTTCGGATAGACCAGGGGTTCACCAACCTACAAAACTGCCCAATGTCTCGCTGAGCACGGTCCAGAAATGCTCCCAGCTTTGAGAAAAAACATTCGGTTGTCGCAATATTCTGATGAAGCGCTCCGTGAAGCTGAGATACTCCTCCTGCAAAACCCCATGTTTAAGACCCTGGTAGGCACCACGCAATCCATTAACTTGATTCAAGGTGGAATTAAGACAAATGCCCTGCCCGAACAAGCGTGGGCTGTCGTCAACCACCGTATATCTACGGAAAGGTTGGTGTTGAATGAGGGTCACCTTGCATTTTTTTTTTTTGCTCACCCACTTGTACATCATAGCTCTCTCAACGAAACTACAAGCCGACAGACAGATCTGCTTCGGCCTCTTGCCAGCGGCTTCAACTTGTCTTATACTGCATTCGGCGCCTCCCTTTCTGAACCTGATGTCCCCGCCTATGGGTCGTTAAACTTGAGCGATGCTTGGGGAACGGGCACGGAACCCGCGCCAGTCAGCCCAACTGATGAGAATGCCGCGCCATACGACCTTCTATCTGGTACGATCAAGGCGGCGTATAATTCTCACAGGGGTATTAAGGGCGACAATAACGTCGTGGTAAGCCCCGGCATTATGCCAGGCAATACCGGTATGCTTCTTCCCGCTTGACTTCAACTCTATGCTGAATACAATCTGGCAGATACTCGGCACTACTGGAAGCTCACCGATCACATCTTCCGTTACCGCCATGTAAGGTTAGGAGGCTGTCTACCTAACAATCCTCACACTGTGAATGAAGGCATGTTTATACGCTATTCTTAATTGTGACATGAGTCTGATTTCTATGTTAGTAATGGAAGCCGACAACTTTGTCGAGATTATTAGATTCTTTACAGCGTTGGTTCTCAATGCCGATGAGTCTGAGCTCATTTGATACACTTGACAGAACCCAGATCTCTGGAGTTGATCATTATCGATTGGTCTTTCTCTCTTATTCCCTTCACTAAAAGATGTTCGCATCCGTAGTTTGATCAACTAGTTCTTGAAGTTATTGGCAGGCCCAGTGTTGATTGGGTTCTGGGTGTCACGGCGATGCGTTTCTGAATTCGCCTATGGAGTGGGTGATATTGTTACTGCTACAGGTCGTCAAATGATTGAGTGCTTGCGATTATCTTGCCATGTTTGTTGAACTTGTATATTATTGTTCAGAGACCTTGTCATAAACAGGCTAGTGAGTGTATTACGATGTTTCCAGTGAGAGAATAGCTTCTGTCTCTATGCGATGTTTCTAAGATTTTCCATCCGCGAGATATACAGTATAACGAGATATTAGGGAAAAATCTGTGTGCAATCCAGATATGCCGATCGTATGGTATAGTTCGACTCATTATACCCACATCTAAGGTTATACAGACCACCGAAGATGGCCCCTCGGGTGCTAAGCAGGAACAAATGGAAGGCGTGTCTTGCTTGCGTCCGACTCTCAGCATGAGGAATTCGGACAAAGACATAGACTTGGATATCTTTTTGGCATTGCCTTTAGTTGCTTGGTTGATTTTGGTACGGTTCATCGTAAAATTCCCAGTGTCACCAGCCTGTGCACTCAGAATCCTCATGATCAATCTCGTCCTCTGAGCCATCTTCCTCTGGGTCATCAACTTCAGCGTACTCCTCTAAATTTTCGTCCCCTGAATCGCCGGTTTCTGTGCTATATTTTGCATTCGCAAAGTCCAAATCACCAGTTGTGCCATCGGAAGATGGCACTGGCTCGGCTACAATAGGCTTAGGTTCAAGCATGATGTCAGCCCAAGCCCGTTGTACGTCTATTCCCCTCTGCTTCATATAACATTCCCAAAGGCACACCTCAGCATCCTGGTTCGATAGTGCGTTCCTGTTCGATGCCAGCATTTTTCTGTGAAGGCTGGCTACTTTTTCAGCCTCGATTACCTTCCATGCGCTTTGCTTAACTTGGGAGTAGAGTGCTTGTCGGGACGCTTTGTGCGCTTGATATGCATCGCAGATGGCGGAATCTGATAGTGATTCCAACTGGTGCCCGAACGGTTTCGTTGTGTACGCAGGCTGGATAAAGGACAAGAGCTGTGAGCAAAAGTGGGTGTGTACGTCGAATCAAAAAACGGACTGTGCTGGGAAAGCCACTGGTGCGACGTAGATTGTGCGGGTTGGGTGGCGCAATGTTATATTGTCTTGGATAAGGCGCGTATTGATGTTGTCGACGAGCATCCCTGATGTGTTCGCTGCGTCTTACCGTGGGTTCACCGGTGTAGATATAACTTGCTGGTTCATATGGCGGTGGAACAAAGGAACGGATAGCACCATGGCCTGAGAACTGAGGAGGTAGCTGTGGGTAGCTACTGCCTACCTGAAAGTTGAAGGGAGGGGACACGAAAGACATTGAGACGCGACCAACAACTTGGACGCGACAACGCTGGCAGCGAACGCGGTCAAGCGCGGTCTTTCAATTACCGTCCCGGAAATCGGGCCGACACCATGGCCTCTGCAATCACATGAAATAAGGAACTTGATCATATCACCGTGACTGAATCAAGAGACGACCTGGCAGCATATAGTCGAGCTCATCGTCAGACACAACGACCAAGGACGCAACAGCAGCGACATTTCTGCCTCTCCAGTGCCGTCAACGTGCACGAACGATGGCGGTTCTCTCTAAACCCGTGCATCCAAACGTCCAGCTGCTCCTCGAGAATTACGCTTCCGCTGGCTCGCCTCGCACTCGCCTCCTTGTTCTCCTTGCAACGCTCCTCATCCTCCGTGGTCGCATCGTATCTGGTCCAATAGATGTTACCAAAGTTCGTACCTTCACCACCTTCGTTTAGTCTACAACTTGTTATAACGCTCGCATCCGCAGACTATCATAAATCGTATTTACTCCACTGCGGACAGAGTAGCACGCGGGAAGCGTGCATCGCCAGAAGAACTCGCAGATGCGTTGCAGCAAGTGTATATTCAGGAAAAGGACGGCTCGAAGACCCTCCTCGTTCCATATCGTGATCAGTACGTTACAAAGGTACGCACCCTTTTTCTTTCTTTTCGTTTTCCAAGTTATCGCTCATACTCTGTCACGCAGGTCCCCATCAGCCCCATATCTCCCTCCAAACTCGCATCAGATGCTCCCTACTTTCCAATCATATCCTCTCCTTCCATCTCCTCGTCCCAATCTCTCGCAAAATCGAAGTCAACTCCTACTGGCCTAAACACCACATTCCTTCACCAACTTCGCTCCATCATATTCCGAATCGCCATTCCCTCCTGGAGATCAAAAGAAACTCTACTCGTCGTCATGCATAGTTTCTTTCTCGTCCTTAGGACAGTCTTGAGTATTGGCGTCGCAAGGTTGGATGGGAGGATCGTCAGAGATTTGGTTAGTGCAGACGGAAAAGGCTTTTTGCGGGGATTAGGGCTATGGTTTCTCCTCGCCATACCAAGCACTTATACTAATTCAATGGTACGCTTTCACCTTCTTCCTTATGGTACCATAACTAATCAATCTTTAAATCACCTGAATGAATGCTCGTATAGATCCGCCATCTTCAGTCAAAGATATCTCTCCGCATCCGTACACGCTTAACGCGATATATTCACGACCTCTATCTATCTTCCGCTCCCCACCTCCGGTACTACCACATTGGCTCCGAACTCGAAGGTGTCGACCAGTACATCACTGCAGACGTAGAAGCCTGGGCAGACGCGCTAGCTGGATTATAGTACGCCCGCTCTCTAGCAGCTTCTTATCTTTTGGAGCACTAACGTGCCCGCTGCGAACTTTTAGTGGGAATCTGCTCAAACCAACGCTTGACACCCTCCTCTTCACCTCCCAGCTCTCGCGGTCCCTCGGATTGCGTGGAACCATACTTCTCTTTGCCAATTATTATGTCACAGCGAAAATCCTGAGAGCTGTAACTCCAGCGTTTGGGAGATTGGCTGTAGTGGAAGCAAGGTTGGAAGGAGAATATCGAGCGGGTGTAGGGAGAGTGGGGAGAGAAGGGGAAGAGGTCGCGTGAGTTGTTCATCTCATCTCGTTCGGCTCGTCTTCTGGTAAGGTTAACATTATATGCCCTCGAAACAGGTTCTACGATGGTGGTGCACGAGAGAAGGATATCCTCACCAGGGCATACTTGAGGTTGATCAAGCACGTCAATTCAATATACAAGGTAGGTATCTCGCTCATGATGGCTCATGCAGAATCATATCTCAATATTTTCATCGCTAATTTTTCATTACCTCATAGATTCGGATAGCCTACGAATGGACAGAAGACTATGTCATCAAGTATCTTTGGTCTGCGGCAGGGTATGGCTTGATCGCAGTTCCTTTGCTGATAACAAGGACAAAGAAAGCGATTGGAGTGCAGGCTGGCGGCGACGAGACGGGTGGAAGGGTTGACAACGTGGTTGCACATCGAACAGAAAGTATGTCAGTCCAGCCGTGGCAAATTTCGGACGTTGACTTTTGATTTGATCAGCTTATATATCGAATCGACGCCTCCTCCTATCTCTCGCAGACGCAGGTGGGAGGTTGATGTATGCGTATAAAGATCTGTTGGAGCTTGCTGGCTTGACTACTCGGTGAGTAACTTACCTTTGGGACTTTCCCAGCTCAGGGCTCACTGCGACTCAGGCTATACACCCTCCTCTCAACTTTACACAATCTCCCATCAATGCCAGTCTCAGCAGAAGGGGACGTCATCCAGCTGAAAAATGTGGACGTTGTCATCCCAGGAAGCGCACTCATCGCGGACTCTAACGACACTCTCACTGGCACCGATGGTGAGCCTCATGTCAGCGAAGCGAAGCTGTCCGCCCCGCTTGTCCGCGATCTTTCCCTCATCCTTCGCGAAGGCGAGCATCTGATGATCACAGGAAGCAATGGAGTTGGAAAGACTGCGGTGGCGCGTGTGTTGGCTGGCCTGTGGGATGCCCATGGACCTCTCGCGTCTGTCTCCCGCCCTGGCCCCATAGCAGATGACATCTCTCCCTCTCCAAGCTCCACGCACGCTTCATATGCATGGACGCGCCCTGGTGTATTCGTCGTTCCACAGCGCGCGTACATGGTGACAGGCTCGTTGCTCGACCAGGTGATATACCCGCACGGTTATGCTCAGTTTAAAGCGAGTGGGAGGAGTTTGGAGGAGCTGAGGGAGATTTTGGAAGCTGTGTTTTTGGGGTATCTGCCTGAGCGTGAAGGGGGGTGGGGGACAAGGAAAGAGTGGAGGGATGTGTTGAGTGGGGGAGAGAAGCAGAGGGTAAGCGGATTTTTACAGATTGTCTTCTGCTCTGACACCCGTTTTCTTGGTGACAGATGGCATTGGCACGGGTATTTTATCATCGCCCAAGGTTCGCTATTTTGGATGGTGAGTGTCTGTGATTATCGAAGGGACTATGCGATGATGTTGACTGTATTTATGACAGAGTGTACGAGTGCGGTGTCCAGCGATGTCGAAGGACAGATGTATGAACGCGCAAAGGCGATGGGCATAACGCTGATCACCATCTCACTACGGTACGTCATTCATTCATAATTGTCTAGGTACATGCACGGACCGCTAATATTTTGGTTTCTAAAATATAATAGCCCTTCGCTCATGAAGTACCACAAACAACTCCTCACGCTCACCGGCGACGGTAGTGGGCGCTGGACGCTCTCGAGAGTGGGTGGGGCGGAGGAGCGGATGGAGATGGATAGGGAGATCGTGGAGCTTGAGGCACGGTTGGAGGAGGTTGGGAAGTGGGAGAGTAGGGTGGAGGAGTTGGAGGGGCTTTTGCGGGTTAGGGACGTTTGAGATGAGGGTTGAGGCTGGGTTGAGGTGAGAGAATGGACGGGGTGTAAGAAAGGACAATGTTATTTGTTGTAATGTAGGACATGAAGTAAGGGGATGCGGTGTGAGAAGCAATGAGATTATCAAAACAACTGTGCTGAGATACATTTCAGACCTAGAAAAACTAAGACGACGGGTGATTCTGCCACATGAGTTACAGCTGATTCGGGGTTCATAAAAACAAACAAGTCAGAGCAATAAAAGATAAAAGGTCCAGAAATTATACATGTCTGGAGATGTCAGCTCCATGTTGCCCAGACAGCATGAGTGTGACCATGCACGATAAATACTCCTTCCTTTCCTTTCCTGAGTGCGACACTGCGCTAAAATCACATATTTTCCGCATACACTATAAGATTTTCATCACATTAACAATATCTCCATCCCATTACTTTTAACGCGATTATCAAAACACATGGAACCACAAATAAGAACGATGTAGCAAACCCATCGCATTGAGTAACTATTGACAACGAGTAACAGACAATACAAAATGAGATGTTGACGATCAATCCAATTTAGTTCAACTCCAAGAAACATCCATTGTATCAGGGCGTATCGAGATGATGCACTGTACTATAAAGTTAAGAATGAGTTTATGGCCCTTCACATGTGCATAACTTGTAAAAGAAAGAAAAAACAATATCAGAAGGTCATTCATGTCAATGATACACGAATGAATTCGTGTATCAATTCGACTAAGAGGTGCCAGTATGGTTGATGATACAACACTCGTCATTTGGTAAGAAGAAAATGTAAAGCAAGACGCAACACTATCAAGCCAAAAGCTTTTTGGAGTACTCACAGTTACTATCTTTGGTCACCACGATGAGTCCTTCATAAGAAAAGGTAGAGTGCAAAACTCTGTTGATGAAAAAAAGAGGTATTTTTATAGTAAAAAGTTCAGACTCCGCTTGAAGGCTCTCGCTTCTTGTGCCCGCTGAGAACTAGTATCTTGCAGTAGTTGAGCCTTTACAGGAACTCCCCCGAGTATGTCGACAATGTACACAATTTTGTTGGTTGGAATCGTCGATGTGATCAAAAATAACACGTTATTCCCCACTACCCATCTATCAGAACGTTAGAGTTAAAATACGCTTTAGGCGAATGGTGGTGCTACTACATAGTAAGTAATTCTACCACTGACACTAACGCAATTCTGATGCTGCTTTATGGATCCGTCTTCACAAGTGACGTTGGGATGAAAGTCGCCATGCATGTAGGGATGACCACGCCTCTGTAGTAGAGCGATTCAAGAACATTCTCCAGTGTATTACTGGATAAAAACATCTGGCTTGGGTTTGCTGTGATTGGTCCCACTACATGCCCAAACGGAGATCTGGAGAGAGACCGAACGGACATGAACCAAAGTTGACCAAAGCTGTATATTCGCCAGAGAATGTTCTATGATTCGAAATCCTATGAGCTACTTTGTACGGTTTTTTTTATCAAGGTTTGTTATCATATGCACGTTATTGGCGGTTACCGCAACGAAGGCCAAGCAAATTAACAGCTTGCACGATGTCATGACAGGTGGATCCAAATGCTTTCCAAAACAGGTTTTTGGACTAACTTTCTTGACTTCTTTTTGCTTCTTTTCGGGCGCGTCAATGCCAAATAAGGGCAAACAGGCGCGACGCGTCGACGCGCCTTTCCAATTTAACTTTCAGCCCATAGTTCTATCATCCCCTCAATGGACACACGCAACGTGTCGTCCAATCCTGTGCTCTTGGCTGCTCCCAGAGAACAGCATCATATCAATCACACAGCTCACACCTTACCTGTGCGCGCGTCAATTCGGAGTCAACCCCTGACCAAAAAGGAACCCAGTCTTGAATCCCATCGACCAAACTCCTGCAAAACTGCAGCGGTCAAGGTCGAGCCTGCCACCGAGTCGGTCGTCCCCTACAAGCGTCTCTCGGATACGTCATTCTCTTTGCATGGTGTCAAACACGAGGAGCATCCTTATACACTGACAATGTCTCTGCCGTCTATCAAACGGCAGAAGCTAGAACACACGAAGTCGCCCCTAGCGCGCATGGATAACAACACTTCTTCCTCGTATCTGTCGCACGCTCTACAGCCTGCAATTCAGTCTCCTGGCGCTGAAGAAGCGCGCGTTAAAATGATGGACCTGCAAACGGAAATTGTCCGTGCACAAAGTGAACTGCAGCGTCTAGCCCAGAAGTCGAGGCTAAGCATGGAGGAAGTACAACAAGAGGCGAATCTCGTAAGGCAGATTCAGCACTTACGAAGTCAAGAACTCGAATACAACGGTACCCTCCCCAATATGACTCACTCAGCCTTTCCTTCAGGGGTTTCTGCTTTGCAGATGCGTCCCCCCACGCATTGGAATTATCTTTTGTACGACACCCCCCAGGACCCCCACGTCAACGACACATTGGACGAGGATATCGCCACGGCTTTACTCGAGTCGCGCGAAAAGACACCTGCATTATCATTCCAGAGTCCTCAGCCCCTTGCTTCTGGATCTGGTGTGCCCCTCGAAAGGGCTTCAAATTTGTTCTTCGATTCTACAGATCCCGGTCAATCTTCTTTCCCGCATTATATGCCTATAGAGCCCATACAAAGTGTCGTTGACGACCAGCGTTTTGATGATGATGGAGATTTCTACGGGCGGGGCAAAGATACCTTTTTGGGACCTGTGGCGAAGGCTGATGAGTGAGTATGATTGTTTGATCTGTGAGAGCTTATCTGACAATAAGCAAGCATCGAGAAGTTTTTAAGGTCTGCTGGTAATGCTGAACTATTCGACGGCAATGCTAGCGTCGATACAGCGTTAGAAAAACTCGGACTCCGTGGGATGTACCAGCTTCTCCCGGGAATGAGCGTTTCACTCATGCCTCATCAATTAATCGGAGTTGCATGGGCTCTCGACAAAGAACATGGCTCAGAAAAGGGTGGTGTCCTGGGCGATGAGATGGGTCTCGGCAAGGCTCGTTCTGTATTTTTCTACGTATTTGACTGTCTATAATAACCCGGTTCTGAATTGAATGTGACAGACCGTCCAAATTACTGCAGTTATGGTCATCAATGCGTCTCGCAACCCTATCTGCAAGACCAACCTTATTGTGGCTCCAACAGCGTTACTTGACCAGTGGCAGCTGGAAATCGACATGAAAACCAATAACAACATGAAATGTCTGATTTACCACGGTATGGCCCCATGGCACGCATATATGTCGCTCATAGCTGATGTACTTTCTATACATAGGCTCTAACAAACCCAAGAACAAGGCAGATATAATGAGATATGATGTGGTGCTAACCACTTATCATGTTTGTATTTTATCTCCTATAGCGGAATTCTGAATTAGACGAAATATATCCAGACGTTGGCACAGGAGTGGCCTGATTACGAAGCTGAGCAGATGCTCCAAGAAAAGCGTCGCAAACTACGCAAGAAAAACCAAAGTTTTATTGCAAGTGACTCTGAGGAGGAAATTGTTAAACCAAAGAAGAAAAAGAAACAACGTTAGTCTATATCCTTCTCGTCTGCGACGAATCGGGTACTGACCTTGGAGACAGTGGGGCTCCTTTTCCAGATGAATGTGAGTATTTGTATGTTGAAGAGATAAAAATGAGGAAACTAATCCTCCGCCAGTGGTATAGAGTAATTTTAGATGAGGCGCAGAATATTCGTAATAGGAAAACCAGTGAGTGCTTAGCGAAGTACTTGGCAAGGATTTCTTAACGCTCTTCAGGAAACTCACGTTGCGTGACGGAATTAGACGCCACATACCGTTGGTGTCTCACAGGGTAAAGTGCTTCAACCTGTGTGTTTATAAACTCTTAAGTTTTTGCAGTACTCCAATTATCAATGGTTTGATAGATGCCTACCCGCTCTTCCGGTTCTTGAAGCTTCGACCATGGTATGATTGGACAGAGTTCAACGGTCACATATCTAAGCTTGAGAAGAAGAATCGTAAGTCGAGTTATATTCTACGATACGCTAATGACTCAAAGGTCCGGTTCTGCAGCGAAGCTGGCTAGTGCTAGGTTGCAAAGCATTTTCAGGGTTATTCTTCTCCGCCGAAAAAAGGACTCCGAATTAGATGGAAAGAGATTGATCGAGCTGCCCCCGAAGAACGTCGAGATGGAGAAACTGACGTTCAGTCAAGAGGAACGTGATATCTACAAAATGGTAAAGTTACAGCGATCCTCCCGAATGAGTAGGCTTACAGTGCCCTTAAGGTCGAAGCACGCTCACAAGCAACGTTCAATCGATATCTCAGAGCAGGAACGGTCTTGAAGTCAGTTTCCTTTGATTTCACTATTTTCGTTCATCCTGACTTAGTAATTTATGTTCAGGAATTACACCCAAGGTTCGTTCTGGAATATGCAGTCCATTGGGACAAGCTGACCCCAAGTTCTTTAAACCGTAGTGCTGGTCATGCTCTTACGCCTGCGCCAGATATGCTCTCACCCTGCTCTCATTCAAGAAGACGGTGTCGCTCTTGTGGGACCTGACGATGTCTGTGCAGATAGCTCTCGCGATCCTCAACAAGAGTTGGCACGTGCTAGGCGGCTTGTATCGGCGCAATTCGTTGACAAATTGAAACACAAATACAAGGAAGCAGCCTTACGCCATATGCAAGAAGAGAAGGATGTAGGTGATAAGCTGTCGCTAAATGCTGACGCTGACATAATTTGTAGTCTACTGATGCAACCATCGACGACGAAGAATGCCCTGTATGCATGGATGTCTTCACTGACGCTGTCATAACTCCTTGTGCACATACTTTCTGCCGTGAATGTCTACGTAAGTATACTACGCAAGTTGTATCATTATCGCCCACTTATATCGTTACTAGTAAATGTTCTGAACACGCCACATGTCCAAGACATGGATGATCCTAACAAGTACAAGGCGGATGAGAAGCCATGTAAGCCAGTCTACAGCTATCTCTCACAGTATCCTCTGAACTTCTTTCACTACAGGTCCGTCATGCCGTGGTCCAGTATCCCATATCAAGATATTTGCGCGTGAGGCTTTCGAGCCCAGTGACTCTGAGCTCAACGGAGATGAAAAACACACTGCCAAGGCATTCGAAGATACTGACGATGAAATGGTTAGTATTTTTAATGCCAACAAAAGGCCAAGGAGGTTGATGAAAAGGCGTACGTTTGAAGAATCGGAGAGGGATGATGATGACCGTATGAGCGACTTTATTGTCCAGAGCGACGAGGAAGACAATGACGCTGAGCGTCATGTTATGAAGAAGCGCCTTGGGAAGCGCCGAGCCATTGTCCTCGACTCGGACGATGATATGGATAGCGAAGCCGAAGAAGTTATTTACGGCAAACGGGATTCTTCGATACCGAAAGAGCAAGTAAAAATGATGCCAAAGTTCCTACCATCAACGAAAATGAAGGTGAGGTTTATATGCATTAGCACTGGGATTTTGGCTAAGAATATCTCGCAGAAAATGATGGAGCACCTCAAAAAATGGGCTGAAGAGAACGCTGGAGAAAAGGTATGTACTTTCGGATCAAGTTGGAGGACATGGTATTGATCCCTTTTGTTCCTACCCCCAGACCCTAATCATCTCCCAATGGACTCAATGTTTGTTGCTCGTGTCCGATTACCTCACTGAGAATGGAATTCTTCATGTCAAGTTAGTCCTGTGCAATTTGGTCGATTCTCTCGTTTGTTTATACTGTATCCCCATTTTCCAGGTACCAGGGTGATATGAATCGTGCCAAGCGTGACCAAGCTGTCCGCGTCTTCATGGCCAAGGACAAAGCCCAAGTCATGTTGATGTCGCTGAAATGTGGTGGCGTTGGGCTTAACTTGACCAGAGCTAACCGTGAGCACAATTTCAGCCTTTAGTTTTATTCTACCGATCTCATTGTCTTGCAGGGGTGATATCCTTGGATCTTGGATGGAGTGAGGCTATCGAGAGTCAAGCGTTCGACCGTGTTCATCGCCTCGGACAGACGAAAGAGGTTTTCGTCCAACGTTTAGTCATTGCTGACACAGTTGAAGATCGAGTTTTGGCCCTTCAAGAGCGCAAGGTTTGTCGCCGCTATAGCTATTTATTGTTCTGTGCTGACATATTTTCCCTAATAGCAAAATCTTGCGGATGGGAGTCTTGGGGAAGGAAAGGGCAAGAATATCGGGCGTAAGTATATTGACTATCCACCGATCTTTTGCTTAACACATTGCTTGTTTATAGGGTTGAGCGTCCGCGAGCTAGCAAATTGTGCGTTTTCGTAACCTCCCTACTCACCTTAACATTGCTCACTAAAAGCACATAGTATTCGGTCTGGACCACAGGGGCAACGTGCTTTGAAGAATCTATCCATTCGTGGTGCATGAAGTATCGCTATAGATGTTATGTGTACCGCACGAAAGTCTTCATAAACGTATGCTTTTTCTTTTTCCATTTGAATACTTTACCGTCTTCCCTTCATGGCTAAAATATCCTAAAGCTTCAAAAGTGCCGTTGGCCATACCCTTCCATACCTTACATCACTGGCGACACTGGATTTGATTCACGTTATGTATTGATAGTCCCGCTTTCCTATGCTTTGCATGACTCGGTACAATATTATATTTTCTCTCGTATACTCTTTATACGTTGCATAGTTTACGGTATATTTCCACTTGCATGTAATTGCAAGTTTATACCATTGGTGTTATCCTCATAATTCAGTTTCAAGCTCAATGTGGTATGTCTATCTAAAGCAAGTGAGGTCATATCATATTGGAGGAAATACAAGCCATTCTCCGACCAGAAAGCGGCCGGAAATAAGTACGTCCGAATTGGTTTCCTCGAAGTTAGGATTCAAGATTCGATGTCTGGCATAAAATCACCGGGAACCAGTCGCCTTCTTCATCTGAGAGAATATCTTGTCTATCTCTGAAATGTTGCGGTCTGCGAGTTTCTGAAACTATAAAATACTCAGGTCAACTGGGAAAATAGTATTTAGCATGTACAAAGGTACCTCATCAAGTTCCACCGAATGTTTCTCATATTTGCCTTTCTTGACGCTCGCTTGTTGAAGCTTGCGGATCTGTACGCGACTGTCCTCGGCCAGACGTTGAGCACTAGTAGTGAGCGCCTTACGAGCGTCAACCGTTGGTCTGGGACCAAATTTTACATACTGTCAAGTGGAAGGAATAACACGGCGTACTTTGGTATAGGTATTTTGATTGTCCGGGTATCCTGTCTTTGAGGAACAATGTTGGGTAGTTTAGCACTGTATAGAGCTTGCTCGACAGCCTTCAGGGTCTACTAGATGATGGACGATAAAAAGGTGTCGATGGAGATGAATATGACAGAAACAAAGATATGCCCAAGCACTCACATGTTCTTCAAATACAGTGACTATTAACGTTGAACCGTCTCTCACACCGACAGTTGCCACCTGCTCTAACTTTACTGCCTCATTCTTTTCTTTGCCTGGGAGTTCAACTCTGACCGGCGAGAGTAATGCAGGCGTAACACGACCGTTGGCTCGTGTCTCGAGAGTGGCGACTTCCTTCCGGTACCATTCCACAGCTGTAGTCATTTTTGCTTCGGCTTTTTCATACTCGGCCCGCGCTGCTTCAGAAGTGATTGCTTGCTTAGAGCCTGGAACTAGGCTGGCGGTGGATTTGACCTTGGATTTCGAAGCGTACGTGCGCGTATGGGCTGTTGAGAGCCGAGATGGCAAACCATGGAATTGACCTCGAAGAGAAGCAGAAGCATGGATTCCATGAGCTTTCGTGAGGTTTCGTAAAATATGTCTACGAAAGATGGGCGTGAACGACATTCCTGTTCGTGGTTTCCGACGAAGTTACTGGTCAAGAGTGAAAGTACTATACGGGTTTACGTGGACGCGAAAAATTTGACTTACTTGTTTAGGATACATCCCCTATTGTAATTATGTACGTTAACCATGATGTCTAAATATGATGATGGCTTTAAAGCCAGTTAAAACTCCATGAAAAACATCTAGAGTACTGTATGCATATGGCTATAATATCCAGAGCTAATGATACGAATGGTGTTCCCATTCTATGAACTTCAATAGTATATTTCTTTTAACTAAATCTCGTGCTGAGTCCATCGTAGATCAAGAAAATTATGGCACTACTAGGTATTGATCTTGCGACAGTAACACCAGCACCAGCATAGAGCCCTCTCAATCCCTGTGCTCTGTACATCTCCTTGAAGGTCCCAAAGAAGGTTGCCCCAGGAGCGCCCTTTGCCCGGGGTCGCAGTTCCTCTTCCGTCTGCATGGCACTCTTCACCGAGTCCGCAGGGAACAACGCGAAATTATATGCAGCACCTGCACAAGCGCCCGATATAGCAGACTCCATGGGAGTAATGTCTTTCCTATTGATCTTGGATGATGATGTCCCAGATGCTTTTGCTCGTCGCTTCATTAGCTGAGTAGCGACGTACTCCTTGGAGGCGAACCATGCTGCGCCCCCTCCAGTTTCACGGATGAAAGTGGCAGTTTGGCCTAGCCAAAGGCCACGGAACCCCGTCGTCCTGAAAACGTTCATGAACACGGATATTGGACCGGGTAAATTTCTAGGTATTGATGGGGAGCTTAGGCTAGCCGTTGCCCCTGATCCGGTATGAGATGATGATATCGTCGTTGCTGCTGTAGTGGGTATCAACATTTGCACTTGCATTTTACATTTAACAAGTTCTATGGGAGTGCTAGCAACAAAAAGTAGTCATTAGTAAATGGCTCGCAGACACGGAAAAATGCACGCACAGAAAAAAGCTTGTAATGGCACCTGCACCTGCTCCAGCCAAACCAAGTTGGAGTAGTGACAGGTCTTGTGACAGTGGTTGAGCGTTAACCAATCGTATGATGTTTTGCATTTCACTATATGACACGAATAAGGATGCATTTTCTGCCATTGCACCAACAATGGGTGCTGGGAGTCCCTGGTTAATGCGAACTGGATTTAAGCCAACGAAGCAGCTGAGAATGAACGGACCTACGCACTCTATATAGTCCTCGTAGCCCTTCATTTTTCCATGTTTTTACAAGGCAATCAACGGGTCCACTGAAGCGTGCGGTTGAGTCCAAGACTTGCGACTGCAGGCGCACTTTGGTGAGGTCGAAAGGGTGTTCAAAAACCTTGGATATCATGCCTGCGATCTTCCAGGACGAACAGAATGAGCTTAGCCTGCAGCTAAAAAGTGATTAGGTAGACCCACACTTCCGAACGCAATATCTTTTGCAGCACGTAAAGCAGCTGAGCCTGAGTCGGGGCTATCCCAAGCAAGTGCATCAGGTGGTGACTCCATAGTGTCTACAGGGAACGTTGAAGAAAAGTTCCAAATAAAAGGAATGGGGAACGTTCGGACCAAGATGTATCGCTAACACATCGCTTTGTATTGGACGTGGACGCTGAGCGCTGATTCAGAGCGCCGGCTATTTTGCCTCCATAAGCGTTACAAAGGCGAATACCAAAACGTGATGCTGAAGGCAGCCTGTGACAGCGCACATGATATATGACCTTCACTTGGCTCACAAAATTTAAATCCCTGCCTCGTTCCTCGCGAATATAAGCATCGCTTCTCTCTCTCTTTTAATGATGTTAGCTGGTGTATCAGCGTCTATCCAAATTCCATGACGGAACGAAGAATACATTCACCTCAGCTGAGAGGCTCTGCTCGCACTGCAAAGGGACCATTTTCCCCTTCAGAACGCCCAACACGATGAACATGTCTGCACATAGGAAGGGTTCCTAGTGTGGCATAGCCGCATCATGTTACGTTCGATTTACTCGATAGATGGAGTCTGCGGTGTTACATGGGTTTTTTTCCTACTTCAAAACGCAATGTTAGGAGACAGGTATGCAATCAGTCTCTGTAACCTGTCTGAATGGTGTTTCGGTAGCCCTTAACGCTCGGCGGCCTTTTGATGTCCCCCTAGAGCTAGTAGTATCTGATTTAGACCTTTACTGTTGTGTTTGCTCCTAGAGGAGTCTGTGTCTCATCAAGGATAGCTCCAAGCTCCAATCGCGGATAGAAAGCTGCGACGTAAGCAATCACAGCCGTATGGTTTCATGTATATTATCTATTATCATGTGAGTAGTCCGTGTATGCATATAATAACTACTGGGTATATGTTGATTGTGGATTATATTAAATGGGTGATTTAGTCTGAAAAGAGTCCAACAAGCCCTGAAAACTGCATGTCCAATCAGTCCAATCACCGTAGAAAAAATCTAAAGCAGCTAAAGAAATGGTCTATCATGCGTCGGGAGGTACATGCATGGAAAGCGTACGAGGTGCTGGTGTTCGTGCTCCCATCACTTTGCGTCGTGGTTCTCTCGTCGGCTGCGCTCCGCTCGTCAACTCATCTCGGATAGGCGGATTGAGCTCACTTCTAGTCTCCGTGGCAGCGAGCTTCAAGAAAGAATTGGGTTCTTCCTGCTTTACCAGAGGTCAGCATTTACTTTAGGCATATTGGGTCAATGTTGTACTTGCTTGTTGATTTATGGAGCGGTCCTGTTCTGTTATACTAGAACTATTATCTCTCTACATAAAAGCGTCATCAGCACTCGTGTGGAGCTCGATATCAAATGTGGGCGCAAATACCTTGATGGTTTTGACACGAGTGACAGAACCACTGGTTGAACGTGAAAGAGAGCCTCGTTCCCGTTTCAAATCATGGTATTCGGATAATACCTCGTCAAATCGATTTTGCAGCTCTGCAAGTCCCTTTCTACATCTTGCAGCTTCTGCTCGGAAAATATCCCTCTCGCGTCGGATCTCAGCAAGGTCACTAAGTTGCCTCGCGTTTTCTGCCTGCAATTGTTGGATGAGCTTGCGTTGGCGTGAATGAACAGCTTGGAGGTGTTCGATAAGAGAATTTGTGCGACTCTCCATTGGATCTAATCTGAAGCAGCTACGATGATGGGGGACGTCGGGCAACTGGTGTACTATGGTATCGGCGACCTAGATCATGTTCTTATAAAGGTCAGGGAACTGGATGGAAGAGCTCGGACATCATCAGCATCTGAGGACGAGTGTGTTCCTCCTTGTTGTGATTTTGGGTGTATCGCCCCCACCCCTTGTTCTGCCTTGCTAATCAAACTGACAGCCACCTTATCTGCGCCTCTGGACGTCTTCTGACTGATATTCATGATGGTAGCTGATGGCATCTTCAAGCATATTCTCATACTTGGTCGGGAAATAGCCTATGTGTTACGGTAAAATGTCTTCGGGACACCTGGCTGTGCTTTTGTGCTTTTGTTTGATTTTGTCAATGTTTCCTGAGATAATTGGATGGGTGTTTCTGTGTTTGCAGCTGTGTAGCACAGCTTGGGATCATACTATTGACCTCAGGCTGGGGTTGCAATCTATCACTGGTTATTCCCGATGATATTCTTTACTGATGGCCACATCCATCGCTTGGGATTCCCGTCGTACATCGCACAACATCGCCTCTGCGGACGTGTGAGTGCAGACTCGTCTCACAGGTTTTGCGTTGGTCACACTTGCGGAACTCCAATTTAGCTACATTGTGTTGCACCAATTTTGCAATCCACCGCTGTGTGATTTGGGACCACTTACTCGGCCTAACACTGCAAAGATATGATCGACCACGTCCAACATGTTGAACTCTACCTTCCAACTGCTTGAAAGGATATGGATCAGCACCTTGAAACAATAGCCGCATGTGCAGGTGATTGATCCTCGAGACCTTTTCTGGCCAGTATCTCATGGTACGCAGTGTTGTTTATTTTGTCTCAATATGCTGTGAATAGCTCATTACAGCTGATAGCGACTCGTGTCTTGAATTCTGACGCCTACACATTTACTTTGATTTTGCGCTCCTCGTGTCAATATCCATTGTCCATTGTATTTTGAATTATTTTGTATGCCCCAGATTTTGCGGTATGTCTTTGGCAAGGTGATTCTATACATTAATCTTCTTGCTATTGCGTTGACAGGTTGTGTCAGTGTTTGCGCTTGGGTTAGCCCGTGTGGCTTTGAACATTGCAAGGATCACATCTGCCGCTATCTTTTAATCATGTCTTGCTTCCATTATCAGGCACAATAGCAACGTTGTAACGTGTTCAGTTATCTGCGGACCATACATCGGAGCAACGGATCAGCTGTACCCTGCGACCTGTTACATTATAGATCACACACCCGAAAGGCCCCCTATGCCTCTTACACAGTACAATGTGCGCACTTTGGTTCCTCAGATATGGGGCTTCTTGGTCGTGGCAGAAGGTCCAGAAGTTAAATCAAGAGATCGCATTACTATTTTATCTCCTTCACCAGGACTTTCACCATTTCGCGAAGTGATGGTTTCAGGGCAAACCTGATGATGTAGCTGCAAAACACGTGTTCCTACGACTCTGACGACGTCATGTTGATCGGGGAGGGAGCGAGGATCGTCGCTAAAGAGCCGGAAAAAACGGACCAGCGTATAAATGCGTACGTTGAGCCTTTCCGTCAAAATTATTATTAAAAAATATAATTTGTTCAGTAGCCCCATAATCAGTGTCTCTTTCAAACTGCCACTGCCATTGACATAACTTCCATGAGTACGCCATGAGTCCGACTTGGTTGTGGCACATCAACGGCGCACTATGCTCGTGTAATGTTGCAAATAATATGCGATTATTATGAGGCAATGTTGGAGTTATTACTCACAAAAAGTCGTTGCAAACCACGAGGACTTTGTGCAGGTTGCTGGCCTGTTTTCTCTACGGCATTACGACTCGGATCAGGAGGGCGCTGCCATCTGGTAGACTTTCCTGAGGCAAACCTGAGATACTTTGCCGGAAATCCTGTGGTGGATCGAATGTGGTCTTATCAGCTTAGCAGCGGCATGGGCATTCCAGCCAGCTACGACTGGTTTGTCCTGGTCAAGACTCTCACGAGTAGGTTTCGGATCCACACCGACAAACATCTAGGGGTTTTTCAACTTACCCAATTCGAGCCTTCAATGCAGAACATGCCAGAACCGGACAAGCTACGAAACATTGATTGCTGGTATCACTATCGATCGGTGTTCATGAAAGCCAGGAGGTCAGTGGTATGCCGGAATTCGCGGCACCGATTGGCCTATCTCCTTTTGTGACCAGTCTGTCTTCTTTGGCGCTACGAAGCCATATCGAGTAAGTCTGCTCTGCGTCTTCTAGCAGGCTGCATAAGACACCACTGTGAGCTAATACTCATTTCTAAATAACCTCGAGATTGTAACAGTTTAACTTGTATTTGCAAGGCCAGTTAGCTGCCAGGTTGCAGACCCAACTGATTTTGGTCACGTGGTCAAACCTTTATCTGCGCATTGTCCAGTAGGCACGCGTTACCGTGTTGGGGACCTCGTGCTTACTCGGAAACGGTCTCATCAAACATCTTTGCCAGTGATTCGGGCATGAGCGCGTATGCACGGTTCAATTCGCGGGGACCACGCCCTAGACGACCGGTCACACAATGCCGTGTTCTGTCTTTCAAGAAGAATGCCCTACCATGCATCGCCACTTTTACAGGGTCTATATGAACTTCTCTACACTTCTAGGACCCATCGTCATTATTGCCCGCGTTCCTTGAGACTCTTCCAACGATGACTCGGTTCGCGTTATTCGCTGTGTGTGCTCTGCAGCTATCCATCGTGGCGGGCTATCAAGTTGTCCGTGACTACTCGGGCCAAAATTTCTTTACTGGTTGGGATTTTTATGGCAATTATGACAACCTTACACTAGGTAAGTGGCGTGACGCCAAGTCAGTTTTACTTATGGTACAGCTGCTTCATAATTTTGTCCATAGGGAATGCCGTGTACCTTAATCAGTCGGAGGCCACAAAACAAAACCTTGCTTACATCAACAGCGAGGGGCGTGCCATCATCAAAGTGGACAATACGACTGATGTGGCTATGGGACAAAATCGAAGCTCGGTGAACCATATTTCCCCTAGTTCATGTGGCTCCACAGCTTATAAGTCTAAGTAGATTCGCATGACCTCACAGGATGCGTACCCTATTGGCAGCCTATGGATCATCGATCTGTATCACATCCCATACGGTTGTTCTGTGCGTCCGCATTAGCTTATTTCGCCGAATACAAGCTAATGGAATGTGATAGGTGTGGCCTGCCTTCTGGACTTTTGGTGAATGCGTCGTCTACCGCTTATTCCACAAACGTTGTGTTGACCTTTTCGATACGTTCAGGTCCCAATTGGCCTAATGACGGTGAAATTGATATAATTGAAGCAATCAATATCATGGGCAACAATCAGATGGTACTACACACCACCCCTGGCTGTACCCATTCTTCGACCTACAATCAGCTTGGAGCAAATATTGGGTCCGATTGTTCCACTCCCTCAGGCTGCGTAGTGGCCGAAACGCAGCCCAACAGTTATAATAGCGGATTTGCAGCAGCAGGTGGAGGTGTGTGGGCGACACAGTTCGATGTTACTGGTGTCTTGTAAGTGCTGAACTTACATTGGCTGATTTCACGGCTGACGTTTTCGTTAGTATATGGTTTTGGAGCGTGAGTTGAAAGCCGACATTGGTAGTAATATGGATACATGGTTGACGTTGTTTATTTATTTATTTCAGCGCCCTAATGTCCCAGAATCTATTACCCAAGCAAATTCCACATCATCCATCGATATCACATCATGGGGAACACCTTCGGCCAGCTACTTTGCCAACACCTGTAATATTACTGAGTTCTTCAGTCCACAAAATCTTGTGTTCGATATCACGCTTTGCGGTGACTGGTTAGTTCATTAACTTGTGTCGATATGTGAAATACGGCTTACCGCATTCTCTGTGATCGTATCATACTAGGGCCGGCACTGGTTATGCATATAATGCTACATGTGGGAGTTCAGGCCCAACAGGACTATGCGTAAGTGGCACTTCATCATGGTGATTTAACAATCCTTACATTGTTATTCTGCTCAGTACAACGACTGTGTCGTTGGACCAGGAAGCCCGCGGTACGATGAGGCATACTTCGACATTTCTTATGTCCGAGCGTACACTACGGAACAGCCTGCGCCTACGACTACGACGACAAGCACTTCAATACCTACATCAACTACCTCGACAACCAATAGACAAACTAGCTCGTCTGGGGCTATATCGACACGAAACGATAGTTCACGTGGACTGATTTTGCTAGCTACGGTCGCTGTGGGCATCATTCTTGGTGCTCGATTCGCACTGTAGGGATGTGGTGGTGATGTTTTATTTTATTTTATTTTCTGGGACTTTTGATATTTTACGCGGTCGGACTATTCATTAAACAAAAATTGCACGATAGTTATGTAGAAATTATCTATAGTAGTGGTATAAGGAATGACTTTTACGCATATTGAGTACAGATCTATGGTGGCTGACGAGACGATTAAGGCGCTCGAGGACAAGAATCTGCCCAACAAGGAGAACCCATCGATAAACTAACGCCAGCAAAACAAGTGTAGGCGTGAGCTGGCTTGCTGATAAGAATTGAACCAGGCGCGCGCTCAATAGGGCATAACTATGGAACTTCGCCGACGCATTCGGATCTGTCACAGGTACATACACACTACGACACCACGTAGCGTTTGTTTCAAGGAAGACTTTTTGGTAAGCCTAGTCTCCGAGACTCAACCTCATGGCGCGTATGATACGCGGTGAGGTTGGTCGAAATGAAGAGTCGTATGATGCTACCATTGGCAAAGAGCGATTGGCAAGATAGTGAGACGAATTTGCGGAAGGTAGTTTGACCATGATAAGTCATGTAGAACAGGGGGACGCCCATTTGTTACTGCATCCAGAAGACCTGTCAAAGAATATGAATGAACCAGGCACGTGAGTCTAGCGGTGATTCCGAGCCTGAGTCTTCAATTCGTCCTTCCCTGTCCCTGCCATGCTAGAGAAAATCCAAGTGCATCAGTACAACAATAGACAATAGACCAAGTAGCAAGAACTTTCGCACCACGGAACCCCTAGCTTTATTCAAAAGAAATATTGTCATCCTGAACGAATCCACTCTCTGGTGTCCAGTTCCTGACCTTCTCACCTCGCCACCACATACCAGGACGGCCTCCTCCGGATAAAGAGCGTTCCCAGCGTATTTCCATTTCGCCGCCTAGAATCCCACTTTCTCCACTCAAAGCCGGGTTCCAGAACGCCGAACCTAATGCAACGGAATCGCCTTTGTGCTGGATATCATTCGAAGCTTGTTGGGGCAGGTGTAGTAGGAAGAAAGGCACCGTAGAAGAAAATGCACGTAGAAGCGTTGATTTTGTAAACGCGGACTCCGATACCAGCAAGGCGATAGATGGGTATGAAAACAAATGGGTGTCATTCAGGCTGGGCTGAGATGCATGCGTAGTAGGCGTAGTAGCCATGTGACGATACAATACACCCTCCATTTCTCTGACATAATTCGGGCTGAATTTCTTCCTCTCTGCCTTGCATTGGGCCAGGACGCGGATACGTCTTCGTTGGGACAGTTCGTCCACTGCCAATGGATCGAGAGGCTTCCAAAGCTGAGGTACCCACCACCATCCCTGCAAGTCTATCCCACCGTCGGACTTTCCGCCTACTCTTCGAAGAGCCATGGAAAAGTGGTCCTGGAGGAGTGAGAGCGACCTTTCCTCGAATGCAGTTCCACGATGAACATTTGAAAGCTGTGAGATACGACGAACTCCGTCTAGCCGTACTTTATTCATTATGAAATCGAGTGGTATTGCAGATAGCTATATTTGCATGTTATGTTGCTGTCAATGAATCATAAGTGCTGAGCCCAATGGTGGTGTCTAATGATCATGTCAAGTGAAGAGTAAATTCGGACGCGACGGGGGTAAGCCGAAAAGTCCCGACAGCTCACTTTCCTTTCCTTCCTTACAGCCAAGCTAACAGCTCTTTTCATACTTATTCTGACCGTCATGTCTTAGTATGTGCTTTCATTCTAACAGAATTGTGCGGCACTAATAGCTGTTTTTCTTTCTTTAGCGTCATCTTTGGCCGTGCCATTAAAACCGAATACCTGACCCTTGGTACGCTCTTCACCACGGCCGCGGTTGCATACGGCGCGCTGGGCGGAAAGAAAGAGATACCATCCGCACCAAAGTCCATAGCGGAGAGAGTAAAGGAGTCCGTCCCAATCAAAGCTGGCTCAAGGTGCGTTCTTCGTGGTTCGATAGTTGAATAAATATCGGTGTACTGATGACGGTTATGCATTCGCAGTGAAGAAGAGGAATTGTACGTGTTTTCACCCATGTGTATAGTAAAGGCTGGACTGTCGGCGACTAACCAGGATGAACAGCATCAAAAATTTCATTGCAGAGGCCGAGAAGGAGGCCAGCCATTAGTTTCGGAGTTTACAGAGGTGTTGGGATGTTATACTTGTAGACTTGGACTGCTGGCTACACATGAAATAGAAAAGGATTCCCTTTACTTGATTTTTTATTGTCTGCGTCCCTCATCAGATCCTAGACGGCAAGCAATAGCCTGTGGAGACTTGAATAAATGACGGTTGTTATGTTGCATGGAGATGTCCCTACAAGGGAACTGCAAATCAGCTTCCACCAACTGTAACACGATCGTTGCCACCGTGCAATATTATACTACTAGCTCTCCTTCTGTCTCAAACCAAAAGTCGCTCTTTACGCTTTTGTTTTCTAATCTTGCCTTTCTGTAATGTCTTTGAGCTTGCCTGCAACTCCCGTCAACGATTTTGCCTCCTTGAAAACATCCCACCGTCATTCATTAAACCCGGGCTCGGCTCCGCGACCACTTCATCTCGTTGATGCCAATGTTCCAGCACATTCTCCAGGACCAGCAACCGCTCCCTTGTCTCATTCATTTGGATCTCCTTTGACCTCTCCAAGAAACTCGTTGAGTTATTCTGAAAGGAACTCCGTTGTAAAACCTACGCGGCATCCCTCTCGTCGTCAATCATCCATATCATATTTCGCAAGTCACGACGATGGCCGCCAGTCTTCCCGTCACTCCTCTCGCAGCTTATCTGTAAAATCTAACAGAGGTAGTACTGAAGGAGTTCCTGTGGCTGACAGAAGAAGTGTGGGCTCTGAAGAGTTTGGGGCATCAGAACCTCGAGCACGACCACCTTTGACATTGACAGAAAAGTAAGTACTGGTGTCATTAGCAGTGTTTATAAAACTAATTGTCGTCATAGGCATGCTGACTTGTTACAATTTATCGCGCAAAAGGAGTCGAAATGCCTGGAGCTTCGCTCCCAACTAGCCGTACACGAAACTGAGCTTCTGAACTGTGAGTTCTATTCCATTCGTCTATCAACCACCCTTATGAATCTGAATAACAGTGAAACGCCAATGGGAGCGCATTGTAAACAGAGGTTTCGACAGAGTGAATGGGCTGAATGATTACTCGTCGATGTCCAGTTTCAACTCTCCCACCGCCGCTGGTGGTCAGGGAGGTGCAATGCTGGAAGGAATTAAGGAGGGATGCAGGGCATGAGCCGTCTTATTGCTGCTGGTCTCAGCGATTTTCCTCGCCTGTTCCAGCCTCTCCTTCCCCTTCAATCTCGAATACGAGAACAGGGCATGCTGCGAGACAGTCTAATTCATCTGTCTCGACTTCCACTACTACAGCGTCGTCAACGCGTTTTTCCCAGTCGTCTGCGTCATCTCTAGGAGAAGATGTCAGCCCTGTAGTTGTCATACCTGAAAACGATCCAGAACCTTGTCACGACGCTTCGCAAGAAGGGCACCATTCACGAACCTCGGGGGCACGAACCTCTATCGACATGCAACGATCAACCAAAGTGCACCGACGGAAGTCACGCGATTGCTCGCAATATGCTGGAGATCTATCATCTAGCCCAACATCTAGTTCAACAGCCATTGATGTGATGGTTTCGCCAAGTAATGAATCACCTGCTTCACCATATATCGAAACGGATGCTGCTGCGCAAAGGAAGCACGTCAGAAGGCAGGATTCGGCTTTCCCACCACCATCGTCTATACCTGGATTAGCATCATTATCTGTTGTGGGAGGCTCTGTTCCACCCGTGTCGACGTGGGTTGGTAGTGTAGGGAAGAAATGGGAAGAATTGCAGAAGGGCACGTCGTATGTTTATTTGATATTCCAGTGTGAGTCTCCCTCTCACGTCTTGCCTTGGTAGCTTTGCCAAAAGTCAGAAACGCGCGTCAGTTCTCTTCTCCGACGTTTCCCAATCAATCGCATTTGCACTGGCCTCTCCCAATTCTGCGTCTCCATCGCAGCAGAGCCCTGGGCTATCTTCAGTCGCCTCGTTATCACTCCCGCAAACGCCGTCACGCTTCTCGACATCAACCGTGTCCCTACTCGATGATGACGAAGATACGATACACGGAAGTGTAGCGCTGGGGAGCGTGATGACGCCCGACTCGACTGCTAAGCTTGCTCCGCCGCGTCTGACGCCTTCACCTGCGCCTCTGAGTGCATCGACCTCGGATGATGATGAGTGGAACTGGTAGATCTGTGTTTATCTGTTTGTTCTTTGTGTCTTATGGTTTTTATTTCACTTCTTTGTCGTATTTTATCGGTGGATGTGTGTGCGCTAATAAGTCACTGTCGTTTTGTGCTTGTGAATATGGAGTCTGACCAGTACTATAGTTTTACATGAGTACGAGGACGTGTCTGAGCCGGCGGGTCGATGGGATACATGGCTTTGCGGTACACCGTTTGTGCCGTACCTCTAATTATAAGTAAGTATATATGTTCGCTGGCGCCTCGTGTTTCTACTGTACGGGCTATGAGACCCCAAGGCTCTCCATAAATACGATGTTCCCCGGCTGGTTTATCCGATGGCAACTGTATTCGCCCATATCTTTTCAGGAAATCTCTGGTCTCACCGGGACCGTAAAGCCGTTATATTTCGTTCTTTTCGTCCGATTTCAGAAAAAGAGGTTCATTTTTGAACTTCTTGCAGTCCCGTGAATACAGCGGGGTACGCGGGGGATATCTTATACGAAGCTGTGCTCTCCTGTTACTCGAGTGCTACTACAGCCTTGCAATCCTGTCACTTCAGCCAGACCACTGCTTTGGACTCTTCACCGGTATACTACGGCTTTCTCGAACTTGCGTCTATACGGACTGCCAGTTTGTCCCTCAAGTCGGATACTATTGGACGTATGCTCAAGTTGGAGGAACCCTACCAGTTGACTTCATTGGTTATCAGTGCTAATCTAGCTACCATATTACAAGAGCTTGCTCCTTACTGTCGTGAGTCCCATTCGCTCTCTTGCGCTCTTACTTCCAGTGCAAATAATCCTCGACTCACTCCCGATCTTCTCTGTGACGCCACGACAGATCTCCACGGTAGCACAGTGTGAAATCATGACTATGATCCAGCAACAGTGGCATCCCAACCCAGCTCACTCCATGCCCTCAGCTCACTCCATGCCCTCAGCTCACTCCATGCCCCCAGCTCACTCCATGCCTCCAGCTCAAGGCAACGCCCCTCCAACAGGATGGCAAGGTCCATGGCCAGCATCCGGCTCAAGCGTTTCCTTTCCCCCAGGATTCCCAGGGCCGCCTCCCTTACCCCCTGGAGCCAATGTGCAGCAATCGGCTTGGAAAGGTGGTCACTGGCAGTTTAACCCTGGTGTTCAAGGTGGAGGGCGTAATCCAGATTGGGTTCCTTGGGCCCCTGGCATGGCCTGGGGCTCACAAGCCAGCTATAATCCTTACAAGCGCGTACCAAAGCCACCCTCTCCGAGTTATTGGAAGACACAGTTATCAGATAATGGTTTAGGTCTTGAAGGTATGGTCCCAAGGTACGTTACTAGTTGGATCAGCATGGATGAGGGTGGCATGGCTGACAACCAGGGTACTCTTTCGTTTAGGTCCGAACCCCGTCCTCCGGCAGATACGCACAACTCTAACGGCGCCGCAGCACAGACCCCATGGATATGGAATCCACCCAGCCTCGCCCCAGTAGACGATGGCGATAGGGCAACGCCCACCCGCGATTTCAAAGATCGCCGCAACTCACAGAATAACGCTCGTAGTGGGCTCTCTCGCGATGCTTCCTTTGATGCCTATCGCGATTCGAGCAGTAGACGAGAGTCGGTAGATAGACCAAGTGACCCTTCTTCTGGTTCTCACCACCAACTGCCTCACAACATGCCTTCGCAGACGTCTACCGATCGTGATCCCCGTCCGCAGCCACCTTTGGGTCGGCCCAGCGACCCGAACTCGTTTTACCAGCGTAGTGCACATGTCTATCCCCAGCCTTCTCCTAATTCGCATAGCTTTCCTCCCGCTAATAACATTTCTTCTCGTACACGCAATGATCCCCAGCACAGTAGCGCCCCGTTTTATCATCCTTCCAAAGTACTCACCCAAGAACCAGAGTCGTTTACGTCAAGAGGGGAGCTGCGGCCTACTTTTTCACCGGGCATCGTACGTACGCCCACTCATTACCAGGGCCCGCGTCGCAGCAGTGATGATTCTGCCCACTCTTCATCAACTTATTCTTATCCACCCTCATTATCTTCGTCACACAATAGCGTGGGCCCTCACGATGATCATGATGTTTTTGGCTCGCGCACCACCGAGCCTCTCTCCCGTCAGTCGTCGTTACCCACCTCCATCTCATCGTCTTCATCCAACCACCACGTCTCATCTTCCTCATCTTCACATCTATCCGCCCCGAGCATGAACAACCCAGATTTGGACCCAGGTCTTCTCAGTCCTCTCATCGGTGCGACTCCAAGGCCCAGTTCGGGGGCGTCTCTTTCAAGAAGTCACACAGAGCCTAGTCTCTCCCGACCCTCTTTGACTACGATCCCAGAGATGACGTTTTCGCACTCGCGTTCTGACATGGTCCCCCCCCCTTCCTCAGGCAGTAACCACACGACGCCCACTTCGACGCCAAACCGTGATAGCCGCGATAGGACACCAACGTCTTATTCCAGACGTGACAATCCATTGCCGCCTCCGCCAACTGAGAGAATGAACCCTGCCGCTTCGGCACCGCCCGTTCACGAGCCTCCACCAGCGCAGTATTCTCGGCGTGTTCGCAAAGGTCTTTGGAACAGACGGGGAGACCATATGACGTCAAACTCATACGTCGTTTACGCCCCGCACGACAAGGCATACCCACATGAGCTTCGAGACTACCCAGACGAGAAGGAAGGCTACCGTGACCAGTTTGGCTCTTTTGTCCCCTATCTCGATGAGAGGCCTGAATTACCAACCTCATTGCCATTTCATGGAAGACCTCCGGCACAACCCTATGAAAGTGTAAGTTGTTTATCTACTCCACTCCTTTTTGAAAACTGATTTATTTCTATTGGCACAGTTTATTGTGTATACTTACTATCCCTGAGCCAACTTGTTAAGCAGGACTTTTTCTCTCATCATGTATTTTTGTTCATAGCCTAAATTATGTTTCTCGTGTTAACTCGGAAGTACATTTTTGGTTCAATCCTTGGTTCATGGTTCAATCAGTCAGTATCTGTACAAATAAATACAGAATTTGTCAATAAAAAAATTTCCTCAGACGAATTATACATCATATACAAGTGAGAGAAAAGAGTAAAACAAGAAAAGAGCACACATGATAGTAAAGCGAAATCAAAGTCCTATGCCACCATGCTCATGGCGCATATGATCATAAATACCCTGTCCCTTGGGGAATGTCGCGAGGCAGACCCAACAAATATGAGTTTGACAGCGGGTGCATGTCATATGGTTACAACCTTGACTTCTTTCGATTGGTATTTTGCAGCCCGGACAATTCTTGACGTCATGACTTTCACTCCATTCCGCAAAGAGCTTGTCATCTACGGCCTCCAACTCCTCGCACGTCCATCCATCGTGGTATTCAACATGGCAGCTTGGGCATATTCGCATTAAACATGAAGGACATTGAAGGATGGCGTCCCGCGGGGCAGAGCGATAGACTTGTGTACAATCTGGAGTGGGGCAATGGTGGAACTCATTAGGGTGTGAATGAACATATGACCAATATGAGGCATTCGCAAGCGCGTCGAACTCCGAAGCAGAAAGAACATTCTGAGCTAATGTCAGGGAGATAGGCTGCGAACAAGTGGCATCATTTCCAAGGCAAGTCAGCGGGAACATTTTGTTGCCAGTAGCAGCTACTAGATAGCCAGAAAGGCAGTTTTTACACCACGTGTGGCCGCATTCCATATGTATTGGGATGACAGCGTCACTGAAGCACACTGGGCAGATGGCAGCTGCGGGACGGCGTTCGTCAACATGTCGCGATTGAGCAAGTTGCACGGCTTTGCATGCGGCCTGATGGATCCTTTCGTTACCGCGAATTGTTAAGATACGCTTTTCCAGGTTCAGAACAACATTTTCACGACCGATGTTTTGCTGCAGCTTTATGAGGTCTCCACTAACGAATAGACCAATGAGTCGACCGGCCAAAGGGATGTCCCAAAATTTCTGTGACCGTAGATGGTTGACTTTACCCAATATTTCGTAGCGGGCGGAGTCGCGTTGGACGATAGGGCCAAATAATGCAATGGTACGCCTTGTAGGTTCAGCTTGTATATCGATTCCGTGGAAACGCTCCAAATTGCGCAGATAGGATATGCCCACGGGACGCGAAAAGTAGTCATCCCACACAGGTTTTTTGTCTTGCATGACGATATCTCCGTGCTGAATTCGCTCAAACGCTAGCTTCAACTGACTTAACTGCTTGATATATTCGGCGGACAACTTGATTAACACTGGAGGGCTATCTTCGGCAGCGATTGTATTGAATTTTCGCTCGATTACAGACACACCGACACGATTGCTCCCTTGCCAAGTGCACCGAAGTTTAGCAATGTCTCCTTCCATTTTTTGGTAGATGCGTTGGGGGAGCATGTATGACATGGTCTGCACATGGCGAACGGAAAGCCGCGTTCTTCCGATAAAGTTCGGGCGTCGACCATCAAGGTGGTCGTGAGCAACCTGTGCATCATGAGGTGACGCAAAATGAGCCCAAGCCTTCACCATTCCCTCTCGATGAGGAGGTGGAAGAACATCAAAACTAATCAGCTCTCCACACTCCTCCAGCATATCTCGAATACCCTTCGTGCCTATGTCGTTTGAGCTGTAGTTTGGCCTTTCAAGCATAGTGGATTCCGGGACTCCAAATTGCTCAAGGTCTTCCTGTTTGGCGTCTGCAGGTAGGCCTCGAAATATGACATTATAAGCACCAACAGCAGGCAAACCATCATAGATTATAGCTGATATGGAATTTTTACGCATCGCCGAACCATTAGCCACAGCAATTGCAGCCTCGGCTTGTGATTGTGTGGCGTAGCCTGCGTAACCCAGCCTTGAAGGAGCTTCCCATTCGACGCGAACCGATGCATCCCGAAGCATTCCATTAGCGTGGGAAGTATTGTTTATGTAGACTTTGGCAGTTATTTTCTTGTTGCCAATATCGGCACCGTTTAATTTGGTGGCGGCCTCCAGGGCTTCAGTTGGAGTGGAATACTGCACTTTTACGGTACTTGTTTTTGAGTTGGACGAAGCAGGCATGGTCACCGTATCAACCTGACCAAAAGGAGAAACGAGCCGATTGATGGTACGTGAGGACACACTAGAGGGTACATTCCCAAGGTGAATCCAGCGACTCTCAAAACCAGTGATGATATCCTTGACCTCAAAGCCCTCACCAAGCCTGACTTTTGTATGGTCCTGCAGCGTAATTGTAAGAAAAGAAGGGCCGACGTGGCGAGGCCTTGTTTGATTGTCGCTACTAAAAGATAATTCCGGTGAAAGGGACTTTCTTTGCTTGTTTCCACTATGCTCCGGGAGCGTAGAAGTGGGCTTGGTGGTCATATGGAAGGAAGTAGATGGATGGTGTGATTGCAGGCCATTCATACCACGGTTGTCGTTGAGGATAGGCCTGTTAGCGTCCTTCAAACATATATGTAAGCGACGGTTGTGATAATGCCTAATTTTTCAGTCAACACTTACGCTAACGATTCCATCTTCATGCCTATATTTACAGGGAGACAAACGACAACGACCCCGCAGCCACATTTGGCATATCCCTGCTGAACTAGTGGAGCTAGTCCCTGTGTGTACACTCGCTGAAGAGTTCTGAAGACATCTATTATCATTCCGTGGCGGCCAAGCCCTCGCAAGTCGACTTGCTTGATCGTATCCGTTATGAACGGTAGAATATGTTGAGTCCCGTTCATCCTGAGAGGTCTGCGTAGAACGGGGGGAGCCATGAGAGGAAGAACTCTGAGATGGGGCAGGTAACTTCAGGCGAATCCCGCTGACGGTACCAAAGGGTTGCGGTACGACTGTCGAGGGTTCCAGGTGATGATCATCTTCATAGGCCTTCATATCTTTGTCAGGCGGTATTGGCACACATCCTTTGCGCGATGGGTTCTGCTGGATGGTTAGCTATGAAAAAAGAAAGCAACGAAACGAGTACCTTAGAAAGTCCCTTCTTCTTGGCTTTGGAGGAATGCTGAGATGGTAAAAATGGAGGAGGTAAACTGACGGTAATCTCTTTAGATTTTTCGTCGATACGAAGAATGCCCACCAGAAATCCGGAATCTAATTCATGGTCCCCAATGATAAGGCTGCCTCCTAGAGCCTCGAAAGGAGAATCAATGCGTGTTTTTAGCTAGTAATGTGTAGTGATTAGACAATATAGCACACAGTTGAATAAGGGAATATACCTGGGTAACTTGTGACTGATTGAGTTTCTGCAAGAGATTAGAGGGTGAAATGGGCTATCAACTTGTGAGATACTATCAAGTAAAATTTGCGACAGACTTACAGGCGGAATATGAGAAGGAGAACGACTGTGAGAAAGGGAATCATTCTTATTTTCTGCATTGCTCGGCATATTGTGATTAGATAAACTCGGTGGAGGGAAATGAGCAGGGGAGTGGTCGTTAACAGGAGAACGATTCTTATTCCCTACAGAATTGCTGGTCCTTTGGTTAATAGGTAAATTTGAAGGTGATTTACCAGGGGAATCGATACTCCTTCCTGGAGGGTTGCATGGCTTGCGATGATTAGACGAACCAGAAGGTACTTGATGGGCGGGAGGCTCAATACTCTTTGTCAAGACACCTTTCAGTTTTGAATGGATAGATAAGCTCGGTAGTGCATGATGAGCAGGAGGCTCTATACTCTTTTCAGAGGCACTTTTCGGCTTGGGTTGGATAGACAAGCCCGGTGGTGCGTTATGGCAAAGTGGATCGATATCCTTATCCGAAGAAATGTTCGGTTTCGACTTGTGTTGAACAGCTAAACCTGGAGGTGGATTATGAGCAAGAGAGTTGATACTCTTTTCTGGAGAAACGTTTGGCTTCTGCTGAATAGATAAACCAGGTGGCGGATTATGAGCAAGAGAATCAACAGTCTTTTCTGAAGAGACGTTGGGCTTCTGCTGAATAGATAAACCAGGTGGTGGATTATGAGCAAGAGAATCAACAGTCTTTCCTAAGGAAACGTTCGGCTTGTGTGGAATAGATAAACCGGGGGGCGGAACACGAGCGAGAGAATCATTACTCTTTCCCGAAGAACCGGTCGGTTTGTTTTGAATAGGTAAACCTGGGGGTGGATTACGAACAAGAGAACCAATACTCTTTTGCGAAGACCCGTTCGGCTTGTTTTGAATAGATAATCCTGGAGGTGGGTTACGAGCAAGAATATCAATACTCTTTTCCGAAGAATTGTTCGGCTTGTTTTGAAACGGAGGTGGTTTACAAGCAAAAAGATGATTATTCTTTTCTGGAGAAGTGTCCGTTTTGTTATGATTAGGTAAACCCGGAGGCGAAGTAGGAGCAAGAGTATCGTTCAAAGCGATAGAATTGGTATTAGCTGTCGAAGAATTGTTCGTCGTGTGAGGGATATGCGAGCCTGACGGCGATGGATTACAAGCTTGATATTTGGTATTATTTGCTGGCGATTCGTCCACCCTCTTTTGCATAACTGGAGGAATATGAGGAAGGGACTCGGTATTATTTACCAAGATATCGTTCGTCCTATTTTGAATAGTCGAACTTGGAGGGTGATTTGCTGGAGACATACTAACGAGATACGAAGGGAAAATGCATGGATCTAGTTTACAAGGCATTGGCCGGCCAATACCGTGACTGTCTGTGTAAACGCCTGGACCGATAACGGACTGGGGACCGGAGATTCGCTAAAGTATTGACGGAAGGGGGAGAAGCATCATGTAAGATCAAAGCGTGGGGACTACATACTACAATACACGTACTTCTGTGTACTCATTTCGAGTGGGGGGTTTTTGAATAGGCTGGGGTTGCGCGGCTAGAGTTTTGGGATGGCGGAAGTTATCATGGGGTGCTGTTGTTACATCACGATGCATATATTGGGAGTCTTTTTCGAAAGGATTACGAGGCTGCGGTTGTAGGTTTTGATTCAGCATGTTGAGGAGAGACAGTGAGCACAATGAAAGCTACTCACAGCATACTGATTGTGCATAATGTTACATGATGAAAACTCCCTCGTCTTATATGCTTGGAGTCCATTGATATATAGTTTTTGGTCAAATCTATCAAAACATTCGTAGCCCACGCCTCTTTGCACCAGTGGACCGTTCATGGCGTTCGTGTTCTTGATATAAGTTGGTCCATTTGTGTTGACGCGGCGGTTGTTGGCGTAGTCGTTGGGGTAGACACCAAACTGCGGGCTCTGTGTGGGATGGTTTCTCCAAGACATGGTGGTATGAATCACAGAAGTATAAGGATTGCGAGCTTAAGGACTGATGTGTTGGTGCGATATCGCTGAGGGAGCTGGACAAGGCTTCGGGGTGCTCACAAAGGCATCTGTTTACTTTTCAGTATCTTGCCTTGACTCCTATACATAGGCTGCTCAAATACAGCCGTCCGGCACCGAGATTTCCTTTTTAGGAAGAAATACAGTGGCTGAACGGCTTCTTGCGGCAGAGGAATGGCCACAGCCACGAATAGAAGATCCGTAGTTCACACCACCCAAACAATTAAGCAACGCTACTGCTTGTTTCTACTGCACTTTGCTTGCGGACTTAATTAGAGGATATCAATGAAGTGCTAGAGCTTTTCTAGATGGGTCCAAGCCACAGCAAGTAAATACAATAAATTATCATGCTTGGTTGGTATTGATTCCGGTAACATCCATGAGTAGGTCTTCTCCATACTAGTGAGCTTCGCGAACAACCACGAAAATTTGGCTAAGAAGGAAAGGTCCAACTGCACCATAAGAATGTAATGAAAGGATAAGCGGTGTTTAGCACAATGGGGGGCTCGTATGCATTTGATGAATATCGATCCCGAAATACCGAATGGTCGGTAATGGGCGGCAAAGAACAATAGCAAGTTGTTGTAGGGTATTAAATCCACATCCGCGCCTGTTCGGAAGGTGCTTTGCAAAGTCTATCGGGTATACGAGACATGCGTGGGCGAGAACTGCGACGAACAATGCGAGGATCCCGATGGATGTACTGACAGTATTTCGGTTCATAAACTGATTGATGGAGTTCGACAGACGACAAGGGAGGCGGCGGAGCCTCTCGAAGAACCTGTTCTTTCGTAGAAGCAGACAAATCTGGAAATTGTGACCAGACCTGTTTTGAGTAAAGAACCATAAAAGCGCTCTGTGTGGGAAATGGCTTAGAAGACATCTGAACAAGTAAGGATTGATTTCCAGAATTCACCGTTAGAATGGAAAATCCCGTCTGAAGAAGATACCATAGAGCGCTTGCAAGGCCAAGTATTAAGCGGACCCATCGCGGGGTAAGCAGATAAGACAAATTGGGTACATCTGTTGGAGCAGCGCCAGATACCAACAATAAGGCCAAGATTCATCTCCGTGGATATACGCACTTGGTAAAAATGTTTGCATAAGTGAAGCTGCACCAACTCGAAGCCATTCATTAGAGTTGTTGTGGCGCAACTCATGTTTCAATGCAGCTGCAGTATTGTTGATCGCGATTAGCTCCTCACGTGTCGTCGCAGTTAGCCGAGAGAGAGTATCAACAAGATCGACGGCAGAGCTGGTTACTTCCTGCTGGGTCTTCTGTGCAAGGATAGCTTGTTCAGTTGACTTATCTAGGATTACTGTTATTTGCGAAATAGCTGTTGCAAGTTCTCCGAACGTCTACATAGAGCAGTGAGCGACACAAACGATGTCTGCTTCCAGACTCACATATTGCATCGCTGTAAACTCGTTTTCCAATATCCCCCATTGTTGATGGGCATGGTTCTGGATAGTGGTAAGACGCGGTAAATTTTGGAAGTGCGGATCCTTACTAGATTTTCGAGGGCTTGGTGGCTTCGCTCCAAAACCGGTAAGAAAGCCAGCTGAAGTTGTGATGTGAGACTATCCTGGAAATTTGGGAGTAGCATTGACAACGAGTCGGCATGCTATCGAGCTGGCGTGAATATACAAGAGCAGGGCGTGATTTTGGTACGTACACGGAGCGAAATTTCTTCCAGGAGGTTGTGAATCTGATCCAGTGAGCTGCAAGCAAAGTAGAGTTCCGATCAAACTGTACCTTCATCGTAGACTTGAGGGAAGCGTCGTTATGACGATCCTGTAGATCTAAGACCTCTCTATCTACATGAGATAGAATCTATATCATCGTGCCAAAAATAATTAAAGCATCCACAGTGCCTTGAGAAATTCGGAATTTTACCTTGTGAATACTATCTTCCATCCTTGACACCATCACATCTGCAGAAGAGCGTATACGGCCTGAGGAGTCGGACAACGCTATTATTATATTTCGTAAATCCTGTTCCACGATGTCAGAACTAGCTGATAAGCGCATAGATACATAAACATACTTCAGATGTTCGCTCCCAAGACTGTACAACGTCTTTCATTGCCTTCTCGCGACCGAGCATAAAACGAATTAGGGAAATTTTCTCCAGAGTAGCGTTCCTGTATATGTCCTTGGCGGTATCTGTGGGAATATATATCAAAATTTTCAGCCCAGCAAGATCATTGATTGTACCAATATCATTCCATCGTCTATATGCATAGCATAGCTGCGCTAAACTTGGCCGTCAGCAGAGCAAACGTCAGATTATTACATGCACTTGCGTATCTCTCGAAGGTACCCTGAATAACTTGACCAAAATTGAGCACTACGAGAAAGCGCCCTGGAAAAGTACTAATAGATGAGTATCCTATGTGCCATATGTATTGCAACCTGCTTACTCTACGCAATCACCCTGGACGTGACTTGTAGATACGAAGGGAATGCGACTGTCGGCGAATGCAGAGCATTCCAAAGGGGGTGAATGATGTCGCGCAGTAGCTAGTTCGCACAACGTCATGGAAATGGCACCTTGGGGTTTCGACTTCTGCATCGAGAATATGTGTACAGGGAATCGGCAATAGAAATACTACCTTGTATGCGTTCATCTTCGCTCATATGAGATTCCCCACAGCGATGATCGAA